GGGAGCCTTCATGTGCGCTTTGCTAGGGTGGTGCCACCCTTTGTAATACCACTCGCCGACAAACCAGCAGCCATTTTGGTCTCGGCGATAATCCGTAGGGCTTATAACCCTCCCGGAAACAAGGACCTTATCTCACAAGTTCGGAGCACCGTTGTGGAACCCACGGAGGGAGGATTAGCATTTGAACCTTCGGATGGGGGGACCGATGGACACAAAGGCCACTTTCCGGCGGACGGGAAACGCACGGTGAAACAATGAGGAACAAAATGGCGGCGGGGGAAAGGGAAACAGGCAGTTGGCATCACTCTATGCGAAGCGCACATGAAGGCACCCTAGCCCCGGCGTATGATTCCCTGCTTTCCGCCTCCTTTTCCTCCTCTCCTGTTTTCCATCCGCGGCGGTGCGCGCGGCGCCGCTATTCGCCAAATTTAGTCACGTGAGGAGCAAAGCATCCAGCTCGTGCGGGAAAGCCGGCGCTACGGCCACGCGCCGAGGCTGAATGCGCAAGTCTGCTACCGTAGGTAGCTATACAGGAACTCTAGCCCAAGGTGGGTTTAAGTTTTTTTATAATGAGCCATCCCCGGACTCCCACGACGCGGCCTGACCGGGGGGGGTGGGGCCGGGGTGGATTGACACGCACCCGTTATACACCTGCCGTCCCCCACTGCGCGGCGCCGAAATTGGCGAAGGGAGAAGTCTCCAAACACAGCTAGGTGACTGGTGCGCGACCGAAAAAATCCGCCTGGTCCGGGTATCGAACCCGGGACCTCTCCATTACAGGTGGAGCGCTCTACCAATTGAGCTAATCAGGGGTTAGACATCAGCAGAGCAAACGGGCTTTATCAGCCGCCACCAGTCTAACACCAACACGGGTGAAGCTTGCAATTTAAGGTAATGATTAAAATGCAATTAAATGCAAAGGCGCAAGCGAGCTGGACAAGAATGACGAAAAGTCGTTGGCAATCTTCGGTTGCTAGGCGTTAGGTTACGTGGGGCTGTGGCGCCATCTGTGGCGACGTTGCAAACTTTGAATACGTGTTCTCCAGTGTTGCGGAGTTGCCACTCCGGAGTTGGAATGATTCCGGAATCATTCCGAATTTTCGCGACCGTGGAATGGAATGGGAATGGAATGGCGGCAGCGTTGAAAGGAATGGGATGGGAATGGAATTAGATGCCTTTTGCCCAGAATGGAATGGGAATGGAATGGGGCTCAGTTCTTCTATTTTTTTTTTTTTTTTTTTTTTTAGTGTTTATGGTCAGCGAATTTGAGCTAGTCAGCGAGCCAGTTGCTCAGAAATAAAATGAGCGGGTGGGAAACAGCGTACCCGCGTGGAGCTCTAACAGAGTTGTACGCAAAAAATTGCAATACAAAAAAGAAGCGTCAAAGCAAAGAGCAGAGGGGGGAGGGAAGGGGGGGGGGGGGGGGGGGTGGCGCCTTTCGCGCAGGCGACGGGCTTTACTGGCGTTACAGTTCGAGGAGCGTTGTTTAGCAGGCGGCCAAACCTGCTGCCTTCCACGTTAATTTGCGCGCACTCCTTTGAAGTGAGAACTGTGGGTTTGCTTCGGCAATAAAACAAAGCAAGATTCACTTCTCTCTTCTCCTCTTGCGTTTTTTTTTTTTTTTTTGTTTTGTTTTGTTTTTTTGCTTTGACACTTGTTTCATTATTCTGCATTTTTACGTGTAAGTCCGCCTGTTACTTAGTCTTTTTTCCGATGCTTGTTTTCTGTGTTACATGTTTTACATGGGAGGCACTCACTTGATCGAATGACGTTTTAGCGAACGCCCACGTTTCATCGAACGACGCTTTAGCGAATAGTCGGACGCCGCGAAGCGGCGTTTTCGGGTGGGCCAAGTGAGTTCATATTTTTGTAATGAGTTGCCGCAGACTGTCGCCGCGAAGCGGCGTAAAGCGCAGCGCGACGGATGGGTTAACGCGCGCCCCCGTTATAGGTGGTATTCACTGAGCCTGCAGGTTCGATTTTGCCAGGGAGCGCCACCGTCGATCCGCCATCTTCGAGGTCGCGGTTTGACTGGCTGGGGTACGCTACGCGGTCGTCCGCTGCTAGTGTGTGCTAATTTCATATCGTTGAAGCTTCGTTGAACATAAGAGAGAAGAAAAGTTGGTCTCGGGGGCGGGCCGTTTTTCTTGTTGCCGCCGAGTACCGTGTGTAAAGGCTGAACCGCATGTAAGCAATTTGGCGAGCGACGGGACGAGACGAGCGACAGCGACGAGACAAGCGACGACGACCCGCTTCGCTGTCGCTCGGTCACTCGCGCGACGTGGCAAACCGCATGAAAGCGACGGGAGCAAGCGACCAAGGCGATAAGCGACCCTTTCTAGAAATCCAAAAACTGAGCGACGCGACGACCGACCGCGAGAAATCTCCGTCGCTCGTCGCCAACTCCCGTCGCTGTCGCCATCGCTCGCTAAATCGCTTACATGCGGTTCACCCTTCACTGTCACTCGTCGCGTAGCTCGGTTTTGGGATTTCTAGAAAACTAAGCGCTCATCGCCTTGGTCGAGTGCTCCCGTCGCTTTCATGCGGTTTGCCTCGTCGCGCGAGTGACCGAGCGGCAGCGAAGCGGGTCGCCGTCGCTTGTCTTCCCGCTCGCCAAATCGCTTACATGCGGTTTTTAAATCGCTTGGGCTAATGAAAAATGCGCCGCATTTTTCATAAGCTGCGCACTCTGTGAGCCGCACGGTATGTTTCTGCACAGGAACGAACACCGAAGGCACGACGTATGTACGACACAGCGGCGATGGAGCAACACGGTTACACGGCCGTAGTACAGAAAATCCGCTAAAGAAAAACGATAAAGAAACTAGCAAAAAAAAAGAGTAATCACACCGTGCTACAAAAGCACCAAAGTAGAAAAATTAGTTCTTGCAAGAGCTACCGCCGTCGGCACGGCGGGCGACACGGAGCGCTTTATGGAGCCGAGGGAGCAACGCGGCCGCGGTAAACGAGTCCGATAGCGACGAAAACGAACTAAAACACACAAAAAATACTCCCACGGCGCTTCAAAAGCACCAAAGTATAAGAATAACCCCTAGTTTCGATCAAAAAGACCCTTTAAAGTTGTAAAATCCTGCTAAACCACGCTCAAAAGGTCCGGCCAGATGGCATTCGCGATAGCAAGAGACCTCGAAGATGGCGACCGTGGTGGGCGATGCCAGCGAACCTAGCGAGTGACGTCAAGTGAATGTCACCTATTCGCTAAAACGACCATTCGCTCAAATGTCGCCGTTCGCTAAAATGTCATTCGCTCTTGTGACATGGACCCGTTTTACATTCAAGTGGGTTAGGGTTACAGCCAAGCTAGCGGATTCCCGCTCATTTCCTTCGTTTTAGACTGCCTACTTTGTTTCACCTTGTGATGGACCGCTGTGGACGCTACGAGTAACCGCAGGCAATCCAGCACCTTGGGGGGGACTACACGCACGGCGCGTTGCTGCACTCCAGGGTCACGCGACACTCAGAAGGCACTGGATTGGTTTCGATGGCTCTCGTGCTGTCTGCTGCGGTTCATCGTAAAGTGAAGTAGATTGTCGTCACAGCTCTTGTCGCGTGACCGAACTGACTAGACCTGCAGAAAGACTCTTTTGTGACATGGTCTCTCGTGCTGCGCCGTTGAGGTTGCACTCTGTCAGAGGATGTGTTCCTGCCACTGTGCATGGAGTCACTTCCAGCAGCATACTAGCCGTATTGCTGTGCAGGTATTTAAAGAATACAGAACTTAATATAGCTTATTTCTGCGCCACGCACAAACTTCTTATCAAACAAACACGCTGGCCGCGTACGTATGTCCTAGAAGACAAATGCAAAAAAAGTTTGCCCCAAAAAATTAGTGGATTTACGTTTTGGTGATTGTTGCGAGCCACGTTATCGAAAGACCGATGTTTTGAACAAGCATCGACATATCAAGGGGCTTTCTCGATGTTTACAGTATTATGTAAACAAACACTTTGTGCCACCAGCGCTCCGCGTAGTAAAATCAGTGCTTTTTTTAGGCATTTTGTATTTTGTTCCAATTGTCTATGTGTTTGATAATGTCAGCTTTATGGTGCTTATGCCAGCAACACAATGTAGCTGTCAAGAGCCAATTTTTACGTCTAGGAATTAGAGGAATGGAGTGGAACGATTCAGTCATTCCAGGAGTGGGAATGGGCCCAGTGTCCCCATTCCTAGGAGTTGAAAGGAATTGAATTATGGCAACCCCAATTCCCCGGAATGGAATTGGAATGGAATGGAGGTGCCCATTCCGCAACACTGGCTGTTCTCCAACCAGTCCATGGTCAGTGCATGTACCAGGGCACTAATGCTATCGCATTAAAAAGATGTCGTGGAAACATTGCATGAGCACGTGTCCACGGGACGAGTTTCCACGAAACGTGTCAATGAAAAGTTGTCCCCAAAACGTGTTTCAACAAAACCTTACGGACACCTGAAAGATGCATCCACTGCACGAGTGAAAAGTACAAGTCTTACGAATTTGTCAATACTGTCAAACTAAGTAAACCATACCGCACATGAAACATTCATGGGGACCAACACACTGTTGTGCTAAATTGGAAGTGTGGTGATGGCTCACACAGACAAAAACACTAAGCAAAAGTGCTCACCCTGGTTCGTAGGATGTAGCGAATGCTATATGGGCTCTACAAATGCTTTGTTATATTGCGGCAGAGGCATACTCAAAAGGTGGTAAACTACAGACAGGGTGGTGAGATATAAAAGATTCATCCCCAGTCATCTGTTGCATTGGGCCAAGCATTTGTATGGTATTTTCACTTGGAACCAGGGCAATCCAGACAATTTTGCTTGGATAATCCTCAGGCCACTCCACCGATGCCACCAAAACTAATTTGGGTTATTCAAGTTCCACCTCTGTGTAATAATTTGGGTATGTGCATCAAAACAGGATACTTGTCTATGGATGCTTGTTGTCTGCACCGTATTCACCACTTTGTTTTAAATGCTCAAAGAAGTCACTCCCACATTGTTCAAACCATTTAATGGAACTCAACAACATTAAGGTCTAACAGAACTCTCAGTGGAGTAGTTAGTATCAGTTAGTTGCTTGATCATTACATTACAGTGATGCAACCACAAAGTTGCGATGTCATGGGCAATGCAAAGACTGCATGCTACACAGCACCTCAGGGTCCTTCAAAAGAGGTAACTCTTGACAGAAGAGAGCTGGATACGTAAAAATCCACAATATGGGATAAACAGTGATGGCAAAGAGCAACATACTTGTCACTAGGCCTTTGCTACACAGTCAGTGCAAAGTCGTTAATGCGTCTTGCGCGCTTCAGCATAAACTCCAGATAGTATGCACTCTGAAGCAAAATATGAGTGCAGAAAGTTTTAAGGCATGACAACAATCCAGTCTTAGCTTTCACCCGAAAACTTCCCACTACAACTGACAAAACCAAACCCTCTATTAAAAAAATACACAATTAAAGTTACACATAAAAAATTGAGGGACGCTTAAGCTTTGCCTTTAAGAGATACGCGATAGCGTTGTCTGGCCCGCTCGCAAAACTTTCTCATTAAACCCGCTCTTGTTCCCAAGCTGTGCAAGCATGTGAGCATAGCCTAGCCATTAGCATCATGTGTTGTCACATGACATCATCTGTTTTCACTGGAATTTTCCTAGCAAATTTGGCAGAAAAATTTTACGACAAATTTAGCGGGTCACAATGTCACAGCCACGTCACACATGGCTGTGCACGTTGCATTATGGGATTTTTTGGCCCCACTGACGCCGACGCCAGATTTTTTGCAACAAGAGCTCCTAAATGCTATTGCGTCAAAATACAGAATGTGGCCCAAAGCCCTTAGCAGGTCATGAATGGTATACAAGAAACACAACTTGGAATAAAATATGTTTACTTGAAAAAAAAAAAGCCTACATGAGTGTGAACAAACTCTAGAGTAAATTCTAGTCCCATAACATCTAAAAAAAGAAGTCTGCTTGAAGCAGCAAGTGTAGATTTTTAAGCTGTTGGCCTACCTGAACTACTAGTATTCTTTTTTTTTTCTACCAAAAACATAAAAACTTGCACACCACACAAAGCCGCACCGCAACATTTCCAAATTGGGCAAACTGAACACGTGCAGTAAACATCTCGATACATGACACCAAGTTATTGAAGACAACAACACTCAAAATGAAATGGCAGTCAGAATACGGGCATAGGAAGTTATTGAAGACAACGACACTCAAAATGAAATGGAGGTTGGGATATGGGCTTGCAATACATCAAGAGTGCTTTCAACTATGCAAGGCTAACACCGACCACCCAACCTTCAGCAGTTTAAAGGGAAGAGAAAGAAGAAATAATTCCTTTCAGACAGGCCAAAATGCATCCCACGAAGAAAAAGGTGGAAAGTTCGAAACCAGGACGAAGCAAGAGAAATACCTCCAAGACATCTCTTTGTACCGTACACCAGGATCCAATTGTACGGTCTCGAGAGAGCCCGCAATACAGGTACAGAAACAACACGTCGTTGTCACCGATGGCATAGTCTCGTAGATGCCGCTGCCAGAACCAGCAGCTCCCACCACCCGTGGTGCAGGTACCAAGACTCAGAACGGGACCAATTCTCAAAAGTAGAAGACCACATCCTTGTAACCCGTGGAAACACCCACTATGCTCGGCAGTGGTCCCAACGTGCAGTGCCAGTCCCCGACTTCACCCCATTACCGCGAGACTGCCCCGGCGATACTACGTTCACCCCTAAGCTGTCGGAGAGCTAAAAGGCTTGCCGGACCAATCACCTGCCTCCCTTTCATCGCTTGATCCTGCTTTCAGCGCACGGGTCGAGGGGGGGGGCAAAACATAGACATAGGACTGCTTCAACGAGCACGTGGCTTCCAATGTATCGTTAGCTTAGGGGTGAACAGAGTATAGACCGCACAAGCATGGCGGCAGCCTCAAAACGAGCCGAGTTGCGCCACCTGCTTTACACGAGTCCACAAACAAGCACCTCATGCAAGGTCAAAAACGCACACACGAATCGTCGAGAAAATGCTAGTGAGCAGACGGCAAGTAACCAAAGGAACAAACAAAACTATTGTTGTACGTAAACAGCTGACTAGCGAATGCCGTTACGACTCCTTTCGAGCAGACGCGTCGACCGAGCCGACACAAGCCGGGCCGCTCGAAGTGCGGCCGGTCGGGGAGTCGGCGGCAACCCAAAGACGGGGGACGGGACGGGTGCCGCTGTCGCGTCGTCAATTGGCGTGGCTGTGCTGCTGGTGCTTCTTCTCCAGCCTTCGGATGAGGGTGCGGCCGCTCAGCTTGTGCCAGATGACCAGCGAGGTGGTCAGCAAGTTCCCCAGGAACAGCACGAAGAAGATGACAGCCGAGACAAACACCTGCGAGGGTGCCCGGCCCCAGAGGGAACCCGTCTTGACCTCGTCGCCGGCTGGATTACGCGCTTGCAGCTGTTCGCAACCGCGTGCCTAAGATTTCTGAGACCTCTTATGACGGGAGAACGTACTGGCACCATCTGTCAAGTAGCCACGGAACACTTGGGATTTCCATATATTCTCTTTTTTTCGCGCATACTTTTTTTTTTTTTTTTTTTGCTGAAGAATTTTTGTTAATGTTATAAACTACCTTTTCTAGTAAATGGTATGTACAGTGGCCGAATTTTTTAATAATATCAAGCGAGCGTCGACTGCCGGGACGGCCAGTGCTGTGCTGCAGGAAAATGCGGCGACACAGGAGAGATGAAGCGTTTGCGCACAAAGCTCTTTCTGTTGCGAGCGTCGTCTGCTAGGCTATTCCATGGACCGCATACAGCCCCTGTTCATTATCTGCTGGCATAGCTAGCCACCTTCAAGCAAAGATCTGAACAGTGCTTGCTTGCGTGACACTGCTCAGGCGTGGCATAAACCGCGCGTCATCTCGAGTTTAATTTACTTTTTTTGTTCATTTCATGTTTGCGTTTACTTTTGTGAACACCAACCAAAATGAAAAATACGGTGACGCGACAAACTGAACGCTATGATGCATTAAACTCTATACTGCAGACAATGCTATGAGGCATGAAAACCAATCCAGTGCTTTCACCCTGCCACGTGACATCGCGCTTCCCCGTGCAGTTGTACCCAACGGGAAGGCCACGTGACACACTTTGAGCGATGGACTGGCCCAGATAACTTGTAGCGTCGGCTGCGGTACAACACAAAGTGAAACGGAGTATAGACAGGGTTTCCGTTTGGGCTTGGTGTTTTGTATTATCAACTGCGTTCTTGCTGTCATCTAGCCTATGTAGCCGGGTAGTCACAGTTTTCTTTGACCAGCGGGCACGCGCACATTTGTATGCTTCCTCAAGGGCCCATAAAAACACGGGAAAGTGTTATCTCGATGGGCGGCATGACGCAAAGGGATATACAGTATAGACCACTTACAACGTAACCGCTTATAGTGCAGGACAGGGTATAACGCGGCTTTTTAAACCACCGGTTCGCCTCCCATAGAACTCCATGTAATTACATACCGCTTAAAATGCAGGCGCGCGAAGGGACATACCGGCTATAGTGCGGTTTCTGGAACAGGCCGCCAACCGCGCCAACACTAGATAACGGCGCTAGCCGCGAGCGGCACTCGCGTGACAAGGAGGTTGCTCGAAGAAGCGGAGAGAAGCGAAGAGAGAGACTTCAGTTGCCATAGCGACGGAGGGACGCATGCATGTGTCGTTCACGTGCGTGCGTCCCTCTGCTGCGTTGAAAACAACCGCAACGACAGACCAATCGCAGGTCGAGGAGAAGTGTTCGCGTGCATTGCATGCCGGTCGCGGGCCGGCTGCTTCTCTCTGCAAACATGGCGTCGGTTGTGATCGTCAATGTAGATGGCGTGGTTTAAGCTGATCGTTCCGCGTAGAAGCGCTATCCTTGACCGTGAATTTTCGTTGTGTGTCGCTATGATAACCCAGCACGTACTAGAAGGGAAGATCCAGCTACTCGTGCGGCGATGTTGTGGCGGCACTCTCAACACGGCAGAAACGCCCGTGTCGTCGTATTTGTTTACTTCGAATACAGTGGTGCTTTCTAAACATTTGTGTTTTCGAACATCGCCTGGATTTCTCATTTGGAGCATTTCGTGCCTGTGCTCAAGTTGAAGGTATTACTGGCGCATACCGTATAAAGGATGCGAATTTTCATGCGTTTTCATTGCCGCAGAAAAGTGATTAGGGTCAGCATTCCTGAACGCTCGCAACGTCCGTCCGCAACCCGCGACGCCGTTAAAAGGCTGCGCCAGGCAAAAGTCGCTCATTTCTTTTAAAATGTGTGGCACACTTGAGAGAGAAGTGTACTAGTCTGGTGAAATAAAGACTTTCCTCAAACTAAGCTTTATTTTTCATCTAACATAGAAATAAATTCTTTTACAAAGGTAAGTTGTCTGATAACATGTATTTTGGCCTGAAAAATTGATATTTTGGTTATAGCGCGGTACCGCTTATAGCGCGGATTTTCGCGACTCCCGCGACATACGGTTATATGCGGTCTACACTGTAGAAACAACAGTCGGGGTTACACAGGCTACCGTCAAAAGGATTGTGAACGCATTCCAAGACGAGGGGCATATCGGCGAAGCACTTCGACATTGCAAGCGCGCCCTGCCCTCCTTTGCTAAGGAGCAGGGGCTGTGTGCGATCAACGAAATAGCCTAGCATACAACGCTCCCACGAGAAAGGGCTTTGTGCGCAAGCGCTTAATCTCTCTCATGATGCCGCATTTTTCCGCAGCACAGCGCTGGCCGTCCCGGTGGTCGACACTCGCTTGATATTATTAAAAAATTGGGCCACTGTACTTTCAATCTCACAAACATACAGCAGAACCTTTGCACTAATGAAATGCAGTTTCACAGTCACCCCATAGCCAGCGTGCCGTTGCGTTCTCCTGCTACGAGAGATCGCAAGAACTCGGTCGAAAACAAACACAAGTGTGTTAACCAGCCTCTGAAGCTGCGCTCGGGTTCGAGTGTCATACGATGCATCCTGCTCGATCGTAGCCTCTCACGACGAAAAAATGCACTGACACAATCTGTCGGGTGGCCCTAGAACCCTTCCGACCAGTGTACAAATAGATCGAGGTTTTGAGGCAATTGCATTTGCAAGATGAAATGAATGCACCATTCACGACAAATGGTTTGTTACGTCATTGTCTGAATTATTTCAAGCACAAAATAAGATCTCTTTTGACAAAATGCGCCGCAAGACAGGGAGAGAGTAAGGGAGACAACACAAAGTGCTACTCTGTCGCTGTCTTGCGGCCCATTTTGTCAAAAGAGATTATGTACCAACTGGCCCATCTGTCACTATTGACACAGTAAGATCATGATGCATAAAAAATTAAAACAAAAAATATATGTCTGGATTGAAGGTATTCCAAGGGCACTCGATAGAATGATGGATGGGGATGGTTCCCTCCTCAAATGGTTACGAGCGAGCGCAATGCACTCGAACACAAATCTGTGAACCCACCTTAACAGTTGGCAAGTTTTGAGAAGAATGACACCAAATTCATTGCGACTGCTTCAAAGGGAAGCTGAAGCGCTTTTCAAAAAATCCGAGTTGGGAGCAGACTTCAGGAGCTTTTTGTCCTGTGAATTCAGTTGTTGCACTTATCTTGGACAGAAGTAAAATATAAACCGCATTTATTTTGAGAGATGTGGGCGGCGATTATTGCCCGTTATCTGTCCAAAACGCCGCAACGTCATCGTCGGCACCCCCAAGCCAGCTTAGTGGCAAGCAAGGGTCATCCGACTATGTTGATGATGTCACTTTTAGAGCCCAGCTCTTAGGCACCTGTTTCCGGCTTGAGCGGCGTCGGCGTCGCTGTCACCGTCGGCGTAACCGCGACCCCCGCCCTCGGGAGGACCTCGGGTTCATTCGGGAGGACCTCAGGAGGACCTTGGGTTCCTTCGGAAGGACCTCGGGAGGACCCCGGGTACCTTCGGTGACCTCGGGGGGTCACGTCCACCGCGGTCACGTGACCTCAGAGGTCACGTGACCACCCTCCCCGAGGTCGCCCCCTGAGGTCACGTGACCCCATCCCCGAGGTCACGTGACCCCTTGAAGTCATGTGACCTCGGGGGGGTCGCGTGACTTTAGGGGGGTCGTGTGACTTCAGGGGGGTCACATGACCTCAAAGGGGTCACGAGACCCCCCCTCCCCCCCCCCCCCCTCGAGGTTACGAGACCCCCCTGATGTAACGCGACTCCCCCCCTAAGGTCACGCGAGGTCAAGGAGTCACCTATCCCTCAGTACTCTTCCATCCTCCTCCTCAAGAGCTGCGCTCTAATCCAGCGTTACAGGGAGTTGTAAACGGCTTTCACTTTTTAGTTTTTCTCTCCACTCTCGCGCTCCCCTGCGCTCAGCACTGCAACAGGCAGGGCTATATCCCTATTTTAATTGGTGGCTACGACGCTCCTAGTAATAAAATTAAAGAAAACTTGAGACATATCATTTTTAAGGTGCCCACATTAAAGCCTTCACAGTCTTTTTTAATAGACCACTGGCTGAATCCCCCAAAGCACCCCAGCCAGCACTTGAGAAATCATGGGAACGGTGTTCCTTGGTACCCTAGTGACCGGTAATTTTAACCACTCCAATGCTTACACACTTTTGAGTGTAACCTGGAGTCGTCCTGAACAAGTGTCGCATGGAGTCCAAAGATGTCACTTTAAAAATTTCTCGTCAATGTCAGCGTTTTTGTTACCGTGCATGCAATTCACAATTCAACCTGGCAGAGTTGCAGAAATCTCAATATCATCATTCTCGTGATTGTTGTTTTAGCAGGAACTGCTCAAAAAGCAGAAAATTCACAACCAAAACCAGGATTTAGCTCGGAGTCAGCAGGGCTGTTCATAGCATTTTTAGTGCTTCTAAGTTAATATTAGTGTCTTTGAAGCTGTATGAGAATGATAATAAGTAAGAGATATCTGCAAGTCAGCCAGGTTGAAGGTTGGATGGCATGCAGAGTATCAAAAACGCTGACGTCGACGAGAAATATTAAAAGTGATAAGACTTGGACTCTACGCAACACCTGTTCAGGGCGACTACGGACTACACTTAAAAGTGTGTAAGCAACGAATTGGTGGAAATTAGCAATCACTAGGTAACTGAAGTAACACCATTCCCATGATTCCTCGAGTGTGGGCCGGGGCACTTGGGGGATTTAGCAAGTGGTCCATTCCAACAAACTCTTCAGCTTCCCTTTAATTGCATCAACAGGGGAGCCCCGTGCAACATGTATGCTTTGTTCTCAACAAGATGTGCTCTTCTGAGTCCTACTGCTATATAAGCTTCACTATGTGCCGTTTCAATTCACAGCTCGGCGCCAATCTTCACAGCCCAGCACGGAACAAAACAAAGCATGCCCTAAATAAGCTCTGTAAATGGCATCTGCCAGAGACTCTTCGGTCGAATGGTCACCAAAATATATGGAACCACAGACTGCTAACTAACTTACTCTTTCGGTCACAGATCGTCCATACAGTATGGACAGAATTAGCCCTACGAAAAGTTTAGAACCAGAAACGAGCAACTGCACACGGTTTCGCTTTCCACCCAAGGTTCAACTGGCACTATATAAATGTAAACTTCACAATTCTGCTTGACATTTTGAAATGAAATTTAGTATAGCTAAACTTCCACAAAGGAAGGTCACTGGTTGTTTTGTGCCCAATAGTATACCATATTTTCCGGACTATAGCCCGCACCGGTGTATAGTCCGCAGGGGGAAATTTGGGGTCAAAAATAAAAGATTTTGCTTAGAGAGCCCGCACCCGGTGCATAGTCCGTACCCAGTGCATAGTCCGCACCTGGTGCTTAGTCGACACGAAAATCTTCTCATAGACGGCACACGTTTACAAATGTCTGCTTTTTAGCTCACAATAAAGCCTATAATGTGCATAAATCATCATTAACATACACTTTCGTGCACAAAATTCGTCACTCTCGTCATAATAAACGATCTTGAAAAACAATTCCTGTATAGTCCGCACGCATAGATAGTCCGCACAGCCAGAAATTTCAACTTTTAAACATGTATAGTCCGCGGAATATAGCCCGGAAAATACGGTACTTTTCTCTGACAGCCTATAGGGTCATAAAAAATGCATTAATTAAGTAGTTGAGGGATGACCCCATCAAGAGATATACAAAGACTAGTGCTTATAGTCTGGTTGACTAGATAAAAAGCTGTAGCTAACCATTCTTGTGACTTGGAGGCAGGATGTACTGCTCAACTAAGAGCACAGAGATTAATAGAACCATGAAACCGAATACTAATACATGTAAAATAAAAAAACAAAACAACTAGAGGCAAGGAAGATGAATTTTGCTGACCTGCCAGTCATTGCACTCGGGCAGCTGGCTGAGGTGGTACAACGTGTAGGCATTGTACAGCTGGAACATCTGCAGAGAATGGTACCCAATGTTAAAATTGGCAATTAAATCATCCGGTCACTTAGTTTTCACTGCACACCTCTCACGTCATTTTTGTCTCGTTTACCTTTCACTATTAGAAACACTCGCTAAGGTCAGCACACTGCTAAAGAGAAAAATCTTGTCGGGCCAAGTATAGCCCCGACCACACTGATACAACACACTCACATAGGCAAAGTAGAGGAATGGGAGCAGGAAGGACAGGCCCCGCCACATCCACGAGCGAAAACCACCTGAACAGAGCAAGAAGAAAAGGGCCGTGTCATGTATGCAATCAGCAGCAAGAACAAGACTTCAAGAGCTATGCACTGATTACCGACAACTACTTGAAAAGAGCTTGGTAAAGTGCAACAAGCAACAAAAATGCCACTGCGAGTCACTGAACACAGAACTGGTTTTAGCACGGCTCGCTGCATGTTGGTCCTATACGCTTTCGTAATTTTACCCTCAAAGTTTTTTTTGAGCATCTTAGATCTGCAAAGCATAGAATAAAGAGCCAAAGTGGATTCCGTGACCAGATCGGTATACATCATCCAACTACAGCGACGCAGCTTTCTATGAAGCAAACGTTTCCAAGCAACCCAGTTCACGGACTGCACATTGCCTCATATCCATTTTTCCGCTCAAGCTTGAGTTTCACAAGGAGCAAAACGTCCAGCTTTCTGATGGTTGCCAGCCTAACAAGCCTAGAAGGTAATGAACAAGCACCTTTGGGCAAGGTGACCATAATGTACACGTGCTGAACACTCTTCACAGGAAACACTCACTGATGGTGATGTCCATGTTGTGGCTTTCACCGAGGGCACGAAGCCTGTACAGGCAGCCCTGCTGGTAGTAGAACTGCCAGAACTGGATGATGCCTGCGTGAGTGAAGGCAACGCTGTCAAAAAAACCAGCCCCCTACACAGCTGCAGAATGCCAAACCTAGGAATCCTTTTGGCGGAATAAAAGCTTATAACGAGGCTATTAACCCTCAAATAATGTATAAGAAGAAATTAGAGACCAAAACAAGAGCTGGCTTGTTTGTTTTGTTCTTATTGGCTCCTACATCACACTTTGCTGTCCCCTCACCCACAATCTCTTCCTCAACCAAGGTTTGTTACAGAGCAGTTCTGGCACCCAAGAAAATGATGTCAATGTGAGAGCAAACATTTGTAGGCACCCCTTTTCATACCTCTGTTTCACGCTTTCATACTCGAGTGTATCTCTTCTTAGAAAGAAGGAATTACTTCACATTTCAAAGCAAGCAGTTTTGCCAGAGACCCAAAATACTGGAGTTTGTAGCAAGCCTTGGGACACGACTATACAAGAAATGTGGCAGAATTAACTGCAAGTGTGGAAGAATGCAAGACAAAGGGCACTTACTGATGAAAAAGACGTACCACGTGAACTGCCGCCGGAACTTGCCATAGACGACGCCGTCCGGCCTGCAAGGCAACATTATAGGGGGAAAAAAAATTTATTATTTGTTTTCTTTAAACGCGAGATCCATTTTACGTTAATACAGGTCAAAGTGTTTCTCAGCAAAAAAAATGTATTGTGCAGGGCAAGCATCCTTCTCAAAGTGAAAAAAGTTACTGCCCTGTTTCTAATTTGGATCTGAATTACTGACCATGCTCATGTTGCATACACAACTGAGTGGACGCATTTATAGTCACAGACATGCCCAGCATGACACAAAATGTGCTGCTGTGGTTTTAATTATGCATGTAGAGTCGAGTCACCATACTGAGGGTAGAAAGCTAATGCTGAAGCTAAAATGCCCCAGGCCAAGGTGTCTGATGAAGGAAAGCTTTGCCCATAGCCAGATGTGGAGAAGTTCCGGTCTGAAACGGTAAGGTATAAAACACCATAGAGGTATCCATTGGAGCTTACCACACAATGATGATCCCAGCCTGTGCAGTGGTGATAAAGTGGTGTAACCGCCACCAACCCTTGATCCTTGAGGCAAAAGCAGAAATGAAAAGGAAACTTTTTTGGGGGTCTTACCATTAATTTTGAACTATGCAAGAACTAGATCTCTGCTGAACATCAAGACTTCTCCGTTTGTTGCTCTGACTGGAAGAATTAGTGAAAAATAGAAGTTTAGCTATGTATGCATCAACTTAAAGACCATATAGTAACCAGTGTTGGGAAGAATTTAAGGTGCTGTGTGCTTACAGTAGTATTTCAAATACATTTTGAGTGCTTTTAGTATTTCACTTTCGGCAGGTCCCAAGCATGTGTACTTGTACTTTACTTGAAGCACATTTCTCTGGTACTTTCTTCAGAAAGTATAATAGTAGTTCACCTCTGAATACATTCTTCAAAGATGTCATTCAAAGATGTATAAGAGTGCTTAATTAACCATCAGACTAGCCATCACAAGGCATTGCTTTTCAAACAAAATGCAGAGTACTTTTTACTAAGCAAGCTGAAATCGTGGCATGGCCTTGTCAGGCATTTGTTTTCCTTCATTGTATCCTTCCAAGACGACGCTTGGCTCGAATAATTTGTTTTGACTAATGAATAAACAGACTCAATCTCTATTGCACAGATATCTGTTTTATTCACGAAATGTTTTGCCAAAAAAGGGAAGCTTCAGAGAGAGATAGTGTTGTAAAAGTATTTGTACTTTGCTTTCAAAGCAGATTGAGTATATTTTAACCAATGCACTCTCAACCTTATAATAAAGCCTCGTCTGATCAGCAATCAAGGATTCAATAGTGCCTACATGTAAAACGACTTCTTGCGCGTTGCCTACCAAGATTGTGTCCCTTGCGACGAAACGTAAATGTGTGGCTTACTTGGATCCGTTAACAGCAAGGATGCTCTCCCGTATTGTAAGTGTGCAGTAGTACCAGACCAGAAGGAAATGCAAAATGGCATCATTAACCCTGCAGAGAGGCAGAAAACAAAGGGTAAGCGCACTATCAATCTCACCCAAACAAGACAAACAACAAAAACAAAGAGTTTTCAGTACTGTTTTCAGTACCATTAGTATGAAAAAGCAATTGCCAGTTTCTTCTCTCTTTCCCCCAGATTCAGACGGTTCCCATTAAAAAAAACTGCTAGTGTGGTGGAGAGTGGCCATTCAGGGCACCAATGTGAGCGGCCGAGTTTGATGCTCGACCGCTTAATGCGGTCGAGCATCTAACATTGAAACTGATGTGGTGTCTGCCCTGTGCCGTGCAGTGTACATCAGTACCGGCACACGGAACCACTGCCTCCAAACGAGCCGACGTACACCGAGTGAGAAATCTTACCCCCCGGTGGTGCGTGGCTCCGATTTCCCTAAAAACAATACTCTGACGACCAAAGGCCGGTTCACACATCTGCATTTGGCAGTGCCGAGTGTGTTGGGATCTCTCGCAACCGCTGGCACACTGGCGCTATATATCGGGTAGGCCTGGAACGCTCTTTAACGCGTCTATAACTAGACTGAAGGTTTTGCAGTGCACTATTCATGAGAAACAGACGCTCGTATCATTGCCAGGATTATTTCAAGCCTGCGGTAATAGTTACGAGTAAAGAATTATAAAAACATATATGGAGGTCAGAAGTGATCCAAGGCTACATGACAGATCAGTGTGCCAGCGGTTACAAGAGGTCATGACACGCTCGGCACAGTCAAACGCAGATGCGTGAACCGGCCTTTAGATTACATGGATAAAAAGTAAGACAAGTTTTATTTTGACCATAAAGTTGGAGAGATATAAGAGGTATCCTTGTTGGATCCCGTACATGGTAAACACGGCGTTACTACAATCAAGGACATAAGAAGAGAAGGGACAGGACTAAGCACCACCTAACAACTAAAGTTCCATAGTTTCTATAAAAAAAAAAAAAAACTTTTTCTGACCTACGCAGCTTCTAAAATATCTGAGCGCTTCTGAAAACGCTACTGAAAACCCTGATAGTAGGACCAATTTCTACTTCGAAAAGAATGCTCGATTGTGCCTCCCAAAGGTCAAAGAACAAGAGCCCAAGAACAAAGAAAACCATGTAGAGTACAAGGAGATCACAGATGGGTGTATTCCCGAGGGAGTTGGCATCAGCACACTAGTAAGTTACACAGTCCGAAATAAATCGCTCCTAGGCTGTCTTTATCTAAAGGGCCCGCACCAAAAAGGAGGTTTTATTGCTCCAATTGCATAAGTGGGAACATTCAGAACCATAGAGTAAATAATTTATTGGACAAGTTTGGTGTCATCAGTTATAAGGTCATTAGTACGCCCTATAAATATGCGCATCAGCAATAGAGCACTTATCGGTAAAAAAAAATCGTAGCAATTTGGCACCCTATCACGAGAGCCAGCTGCAGTGCACAAATATCCGATCTATCGAAAGGAACACAAACTTTTACAAACAAACCCGTTTATATTGAACTCGCAAAAAACCGTCTACCAGTTCGATATAACAGGTAATTCGATATAAAATTTTTAATGAATTTGACAACAAATAAGCTTACCACACTTACAAAAGTTCTTTACTCTCAAAGGAGCGTCTGTACGTCATGAGGGATGTGCCACGCGGCTATTCAGCGGCCGCTTCTTCGTTTTTCAAGGTCCCACCACGTCACCCTCTCCCCACTTTCTTTTGGGCGATCAACGCGACCGTTTGAAAGAAAAAAGAAATGCTGTTTTTTCCCCAACGCATGCACCCGAATCAGGGGAAAGCCAGCTTGCAGAACAAAACGGCGCTCTTGGTAGTTTGATATATGGGGAGACGCTGCAATTTTCGTTCGATGTAACCACATTTTTCGCTATGCATTTTCATTGCAGTTACTAGCCTGCTCAAAAATAGTTCTATATAAGGGATAGTTCGAACTAACCGGGTTCGATATAATCGGGTTCGACTGTAGTACATGCCTTGGTAGGCCACAGCTACTTTTATAATCAGACAATGTATTCCAAATCCGTAAAAAATGTAAAAAAAAAATATATATATATATATATATTTTGGCTGGCACAGCATTTGTAATAAAAATGTGTGGCGCCCCCCCTCCCCCCCCCCCCCCTTCCTCCCAAATGAGTCATACTGCTGGCAACTAAAGAAAACTACTTCCCCCATTGTACAACTTAGGATGGAGCACTCCGCTTGCGAGAGGCTTGCTGGTACAAACAGGCACTGACCTGTAGTTCATGACAATGCAGAGAATGGACATGACGAGGATGAACATGGTGACCTTCAGCTTGAACCTCTCATACTCGTCTTTGTAGCGATACCTAAGAGAAAAAACCAGCGACGTAAATGCAAATCCCAAAGGAAGGAAAGCAAAAGACAGAAGGAAGAATGGGCACACTCGTACTCACTTTTCTGCGTCCCGGAACGACAGGTTGACACTGCCCAGTACAATCTGCAGGTAGAGGCTGTAGAAACGCAAAAGAGGCATCACTTTAGTGCCGTGATCATCCATTCTTGGGTGAAGGCAATAGAGCTAGCATAAAAGAACAAACAGATGCAAGCAAATGACAGGAGTGGAATGCCACAAAAACTTGACTTTAAAGGTCCTAGTAGAAGCTGAGCGTGGAGGTAGCGATTAAATGTTACTATAATTATACTTTCAGTAACATCTAAAGATCCTAGTTATTGGCATATAGGGTTGATACACACAAAGGCAAACAACGAAAAGCATTATTGTCTTGCAGCCTATTGAGTTTGTCCTTCCTATTGGAGTTCCTTAAAAAAACAATACTGAATAACTAATGTGATACCGTAGTTGCAAATATTAGAGTAGCATTACTACAAGTGAAGGTAAAGGAAACAAGCATTAAGTGAGAGTTGTTTGAGCTGGGAAGGAAAGAGTAGTTGCTGGTTATAGTAGCATACAGGGTGCGGAGTGCAAGGACAAAGCAAGCTGGGCACATACTAGCATAAAAAGAGACTGCAAAACTTGTCTAGCTGTCCAGAGTGCATGAGCATTTCAATATACAGAGCATTTCATAGTATGCCGATGCCAGTGAATACTTTTTGACCACTCCCATATGCCGGCAATGGACCGGTATTTGCGGCACACAAAGAATATTCTATATGTACCTGAAATACTGGAATACGGCCCCTCTATAAATTCTGAAACATGGAAGGTTTCTTACAGCTTGGTGTTATCCACAGATGGCATTCATTATTTTAGTTTGAGTAACGTAGTGTCTGGAGTACATTTTGAGGTTTCTTTTGTGTAATTTTCGTCGATGCACCTTCTATAACGGCGCGACTTATATGCATTTTTCATTTTCTATAAGTATAGACTCTAAAGGGGCCAAGCAACAATCTTGGGTAGGAATATTTCTCGCTTTACACATGCTTACTTGCACTAATGGAACCCAAGAGTACTTTAACACAACATTACTGAGCAAGAAGCGTCTTGGTAGAGATGGAGTTCCAAGGGTTAAAGGGGACCTTTTCTTTCAGTGTTTCCTACGCAAAACTTGATATGACGATTCGCAAAACTTGATGACGATGTCGTGGGACAACGCCAACAATGCGATCCCCGGGATCTTGTCATCAAGCTTTACAATCTCTGCTGCGATGATATGTAAATGCGGTTCATATGGTAGACACGAGGAATGCATGGGCGTTCAATTTGGGCTCGTCACAATCAACGCCTCGACATGCATTCGGGTAGTGGCCCGTGCCCGATTGCTGCGACGGCGGGAATAGCCAAACCTTAACAATCCGTGGAACTCAATGCACGCCCTGTGCTTTGCCAACCTCAGCGCATGAATATGGTAAACATTGGCTCCATTTAATCGGCACCAAGTCACATGGCCACTTGTTCCGGCTGCGAGGGGGGTAAATGGTCCTTTTTCTTAAATTTCTTCTGCGACTGGTTTTGCGTGAAGAAAAAAAATTATAATGCGTGTTTCATAAATTATGAATGTCAAAGAAGGTTGCATTTACTGGAAGTAAAAATGTTGTTGCTTCGCCCCTTTAACTATGCAAACTTTCCGGGGGTTGTATTGCTTGTTCGATTCATTGGCTCCCACTTGTGTACATATTGCGATCATGATATACACAAGCGCTGACCGTACAAGTCTGTGAATGCGACTTATACGAGGGCACGACTTGTACACCAGAAAATACAGTATTAAGTTGCAGAAAGCCAACACCTTCTTTCTAAGTAAAGGCACCGTCTTGATGCCAGCGCATTGGTCAATGCCCTCGGGCCCGACTATCAGCGAGAGAGAGAACCCTTTAGCAGACATCTGGGTCGCGCATCAAAAAGCGAACCAAGGTCAGACGCAAAGAGCAACATTTTAGTTTGCGCTGCTGTTGCTGTTACCACCGAAGCAAAAGAAAAAAAGAGGGGGCTGCAAACTAGACAAGCCATATAAGGCCGCAAGATCAATGCCCAAAGCCGAGGTTCGCAAACCTCCTAGTCTGCCCACTTTTCGTCGAGCAAGTGTCTAGCATTTCTTGCTTATACTATCGATATCACAGTCACGTGCAATCCTGAAGCTTCACTTGGCACAGATGCCAAGCTCTCCGTGTGGGGTAAATGTACGACTTATTTGATCTACTTGTGCAGATACGCCAGGGCCCACTGGCTTTAAATAAGAGCGAGCGGACCAATGAAGGGTAAACTGCCATCGATAAAAGCAGCATATCCATGCCAGAAATAGTACTGCAAGCAGTGCCAATAAGCGTTCCCTCATTCATGCACACTATCACCTGCCAGGTTGTTGAAGTGTGTTTACTTATCACTTGACAGTGACTGCACAGATTGCCTGATATGGGGCTAATCTGGAAGCCTCGGGGCCCTTCCTGTAATGAAGAGTCATTCTACTTATGTGCATCATGCAGACGGACCTCGGACCAAAGGTCCACGAAACGTTATCCGATTCTTGCGACCCCACGCAACAAATGGCCAATCCAACAGACAAAAGGCCACACTTGGACAGACTACATTTCTCACTGACTCTCCATACAGTACTACTCCGGCTGATATGCACCAATTAAAATCCATCCACCAAACTTGATGGATGAACATTTCATATTCTTAAGACCATTTCAGATGGACATGTGCATGACACCAAATAAAAACCACTCAACTTTTTTTTTTATTGTGGTACTAATCTAAATGTATTACCACTTATGTTTCTATAAAGAGAAAACTTGCTTAAAAGGGCACTTATAAATGGCTGAAGTGCCCACTACCTCAAATGAAGTTCTCCACATACTTCTGGCAGGAACTACAACTGAGAACCAGGACCCCAAACAGTCATCTGTGCAACCAAACAGGCTGTCCAGGCTAAACTCCTAAAGAAGTCTCAGATTGGTGAAGCCCAAAGCTTTGTCAGCCAGACTCTGGTATGGAGGGGTACAAATCTACAGAATACAAATTTCACAGCTCCCCGCTCTTCCTTGCCGCCCTGAACCACGGTGCAAGATATGTATAGGTGAGTACACACAGCACAGCAAACGCTGCGACGCGATCGACCAGATAAGGTCCCCATGGCCATGGCCATGGCCATCCAGACGACACAAACAAGGAAAAAATAAACACGCAAAATCAAAACGAATGTCTCATTCCCATGGCACCAGGGCTTGTGCTGTCTCTGCTCAGAGTGTCTGCCCCAACCTTTACGGACGCTGCCTTGAACACCGCGCCACAGAGCTCATCGCATTCATAAAACTGTAATTGCCGCCGTTGAGACATGAAACTAGGGTCAATGACTAAGCAGTGTCTAAGCAACACGCCTAGCGCAATTGCCAAATTCCACAAGGGCTGCGACAGGCTGCCATTAGCCACATATCAAAGAGCTCTCGGGTGGCACCGCTTGCAATGAAGGCGGGGAGAGGACTTTATCTGGCAGCTGCAAGGTGCACAATGTCCACACCTATATATATATCTCATACCGTGACAGGAACTCATTGCCCATGCACACTGTCCAAGCCAATAATAATCAAAAAAAAATATTGTGCCATGTGTAAATTATTTTTGTGAAGTGTGTATAGTGTTTGTTTAACTATATTTACTTTTGTTTACTTGTGTGTGTAGTTTCTTCTCCTACTTATCTGAAGTGTTTTTTCGGAGCACCTTTGAGGAATATAAAACTGAACAAAGGGCATCCTCTAGAGCACACCTTTATGAGTGTGCCTAGTGCACCTGAGCGCACTGGAGTATACCAGAGTGCACTGGAACACACCAGAGTGCACTGGAGGACACTGGGGTGTGCTGACGTGACCCAACGAGCTCCTACACACCCATTGGAATGGGGCAGATCCTGTCCGATGTCATCCAAGTGCAGCCTCTTGGCCTCAAGTTTCTGAGCGAGCTCATCCTTCTGCCTCCTCTGCTCCTCGCTCGACGGCACCACCTTCTTCAGGGACTCGGCAATGAGAGAAGACCGGTAGCGGTGGTGGCGCAGGCCCTTCAGGCACTCGTCCTGGGACCGCTGCACCTCCCCGGTCAGCTGCAGGTACTGCCTGTAGGACTTCTGCGCAAAAGCACAAACAACCCACAAGGGAGGTGAAGTCGTGTACTTTTTTTCGGCTCTCTTTAGCTTATCTGTTGGCTTGGCTCTTTGAAACCACCCAGACCACTTTTAACCACTTTTAAAAGTGAGGAAAAAATAATGAGTAAACTGGAACACACTCGCGGTCAAGCTGGCTGGGCCAAATGAGATATTCCGTGTGTCAATGTCGAGAGACAAATGTGACGACATTAGGCTCATGTTTACTCTGCACACCACTTCCAACTCTGTGTAAGATTCGGGAAAAGCAAACAGTCGGTACACGCTCCGTATTATGTTGGTGTATGCACTACATAAATATACTCTACACCAGTGGCAGTAAAAGAGTCTACTGCAAATCTCTTTGCTGTGCTCCAGTCTTTATTACACGAGTTTGCTGCAAACAGATAGTACAGCAATTAGTGGCAGCCAGCCTTCATGGGCACTTTCAACACTTTTTAAGCGAAAATACAACAAAGTGCAGCACAAAAGGAGTAGAAGCTGGAAGAAAAAACTTGAAAAAGAATGTCCTGGAAACCTCGAAAGTGGCAGACAACTTTGCACTAAGCTTCTTCAACTACAGTCAACAGCAGTAAGCGAATGTTCGGAGACACCAAGCTCTACCAACACCACCTAGACAGAAGGCCTCCGCATGGTTTCCTCTTCTTCTATGAAACGTCATCACAGTCAGATCGCGCTCGGTCGGCTATTGGACCCGAGCCCGACCTTCGACGCGCTGGTTGGCCACGAGCCGCAGCCGAACACTGACGCAGCACTCGTGCCCAATCTCTCGCCTCGATCGATCTGACTATGATGACGCGTGTGGAGGCCTTCTGTCTAGGTGGTGTTGGCTCTACTCACTGAATGGCTTCACCAAGCTCATACCATATTAACTAGAGCCCTGCATATCCGCGGATTATCTGCGGATCTTTGCAGAAAACGGGGGGATGCGGATAAAAATTAGGCAAATTTTGCCGGATTGCGGATCGCATGTGGATGTCGGGGGCTGCGGATGAGGATATCCGCGGATCCGGATCTAAGTTTTTGCCCCGTGGCATTCAGTTTGTTGACTGACGTTTCATCTACAGATTGTTTCTTCGACATGCGACGTTTGATCGAAAGGCTTCTTGCGTTCGTCTCATCGAAAAACCTGAGACACGTTTCGTCGCACACAACCCTACTATTTTAGAACAAACTTTTTTGTGTCTCGCCTGGATTACATGGCGGAGGGGGGTATGGTTTGGTTAAGCTCGCCTTAGTGAATCGCGCGCTAGCTTTTAGCGGCTTAGTGAAGAAATGCATTGTCAACAAAACGTTGCAGGGGCATGTGCTCACAAAACGTACAGCGTCGACGAACCGTGTGTCCATGAAATATATGTTCATGAAAAGTTGTCGACGAAACATATTTCCACAAAACGCGTTTCGAAGAAACAATAGGGATCCTAAGAAGGATTTGATTCTCACTGAAGATCGCTTCAGTTACAGCATTGCCTCTCGTCAAAAATGCTATCTATAAAAAAATTAAAGATTGCGGGGCACCAATCGTCCCGAGAGAGCTAGTACATTGGCAGGGAAAGAGCGGAAACTTTCTCCGGGCAAAGGAAACCTAAAACTAAAAGACACAAGAAAGCAGAAGAAACGTCCCCATCTCCACAAAGAGTAGTGTGGTCATGATTCCAAAAAACAAGAGAAGTCCCTCGACATCCTTTTTGTGCACTTCTTCAGGGCAAAGTGTTGCCGACTACTTGGACAATCACATAACTGAGATAATATTTCCTTCAACGCGCAGCGACTTGGGAAGGCTGATCGCTTTTAATATAAATACGATGAAACTAATAATGATAAAATGAATTCCCCTATGAATGGTGACCCGAAGATTTCTTTGTAGAAAGATAAGGAAACAGCTTAAAAAGTGATTTTCGTATTTTTATTTTTTTTCATTCTCGGTTGACGGTATGATATACAATGAATGCCTGGATTGTGAGTCTGATCTGGTTCCACATTTTGTGGATGCAGTTCGAATACGGATACAAAGTATGCGGATGCGGATCGGATACAATAATGTAAAAAGTTTGCCGATGCGGTTCGGATGCGGATACAAAGCCTGCGGATGCGGATCGGATGCGGATAATCAAAGTGTTATCCGCGCAGGGCTCAATTAATAACCATGCTCACTCAGCACCTTTAATATGTCCATTCATTCTCAGTGTCAATGTCACTGCTGCATCAAAAGCTTCAAGTAACAATGTGATGTTAATAGGGAGTTTTCATAGATTGTTCACGCCATCCCGCAACACTCTCCGCAACTCGCTACGATACTGGATCTCTACAGTCAAGGCCATCGACGCACAGGCGCAGTAGCTGTTGCTTCGTTGCAGAGGGCTTAGCGGAGGGGGAAACGCAGTCTACGAAAACTCAGTAATGACTTACTAGTTTCTCTAACCAATCTGAATGACAAGGGCACTTATCCAAAAATAAAAATAAAGGGGTACTTGGCTACACAGTGCACATGAAAAGGTAATGCTAACCCTCAATACAGGGTGAACCCCTCAATGATTTTCATCCAACCAGCCTGTACAAGACAGAACAAAGCATGTCCCCCCTCCCCCCCCCCCGACAGGTCCTTCCTCAGTACAGATACTTTGGCAACTCGACAAGTCAAACGAAGGAAGTGTTTTTGAAGCTGCCATTGTCATTCTCCTCTTGCTTTTGTCTTTTTTTAATGTGAAACATTCTTTGGCTAGTTGCTCCGGATTTCATGAAGCCGCATTTCGTGAAGTTGTGGCCTGTGACGTCGCATGACACGTCACATAAACTATCCAGTTTCCCCGCTAAATTCAGTGGGGAAATTGACCTCACGTGACATATACATAAGATTCTGCGTTTTCGGAGTTGGTTTTTTTGCAAAATTCGGAGGAAGTTTTTTGGAGTTCATTTTTCGCTGGAGAATCTGAGTTTATTCTTATTCGATTCCCAGCTCTTAGAAATTCAAAGTTTAATTTTACTCTGTTTCTACATATTTTTTTTTTCAAAATAAATTTAATTTTTTAACAAGAACATTCACCAAATACATAAAAAAGCACCGCTACCAAAAGATATTTCTGCAGCTGCATTTGGCATTGGCACCTTTATGATTGGCAGTACTAACTGTCCCACAACAAATCTTGAAAACAAGTCGGTGCTTTGAAATGTGCAAAGTCCTGGACGCACAAAAACTTCAGCTGCCCTCCACATCCTATAAAGCTACAAGTTCACATTTTTTTGTTGTTATAAAAACAGAACCCCTCCTCTTTCTAAGAAGCACAAATAGTATGGTCCAAACTGGAAACTGGAACAGTAACTTCAGTCGTAGTTCAGAAGTACATTGGCCCATTGTACTGAACAAACCTTGACAAGATAAATGGAAAACACCCCTTTGTAAATAACCAAAAAAAAATATCTGGCATTTTTGTAGGACTATTAGTTTTGTGCCTTGACGAACTTGATTCATAAAATATTGTCTTCTATGGATTGTTATTTTGCCATTCGATCTAGAAATTAAGTTTTTTTGATAAATTTGAACTCTTAAAAATTTTACCAGCGAGTGTTTTAAGAGTTTATCTGATTTATCCGAAAACACAAAACCCTCTGTTCCGTGTTTCTCCACAACAGCTGCTCCCCTTCCTTCTATAATCGTAGCTTTCAGTGCTACAAAAACATTTCCCTGCCATCTTCTAAGAAATCCAAACTAAAATGTAGAACAGTGGCTTTTGCCATGACCAAAAATAACCATGACCCGTCGTTCCGAACAAAACTTGTCAAGAAAAACGGTGAACAGCTCTTGGTGATGGTCCGAGATTTGAAAGGAAACTGGAGAAGCCTCTCCTCAGGATCACTGACACTGCGCTCTGGCCAAGCTTTTTTGTAGAATATTGTGTTTTTTTTTCGCCATGCTGGTATCAAAATTCTGAGTTTCTAGAAGTTTTGGCGAACTGAAGTAACGAAAATTTTGCCAAGGAGTGTTTTCCGGATTTTATCAGATTTATCTGAAAACACAGAATCCTACCTGTACACCAATTCAATTTCCCTGCTAAATTTAGCGGGAAAATTGATGCCACGTGCCCTACACAGCAATTCAGTTTCGCCAGCTAAATTTAGCGTGGAAATTGAGGTCGCGTGACCTGATGTCATGTTACCTATACCGTATGTTCCGGTGTATAGTCTGTCGACTATACATGTGTAAAAAACAAAATTTTACCCGGTGCAGACTATAGAAAGATTTGCTTTTTCTAGATTGTTCACTGTGACAAGACATGAAAGATTTTATGACTAACGGAGTATATTAATATCGATTTATGTACAATTCAAGCTTTTCTGTGAGCTAATACAGCAGCCATTTGTCAAGGTGTGCAGTGTATGATCATTTTTACGTTCGGACCAGGCACTAGGTGTGGACTGTGCACAGCACACGGACTATGCACCAGGTGTAAAATATCTATAAGCAAAAACTTTTGACCATAAATTTGCCCTTGCGAACTATAGTTCGGAAACTATGGTACACCTATTCAACTTCCTTGCCAAACCAATTCAGTTTCCCTGCCAACTTTAGCGGGAAATTTACATTACGTGACACTGACTGCACACCGGTGCAGCTGCTCCTGGTAGACAAATTTGAATAGCAAATTCAAATTCAAATTCAATTTGAATAGCGTTGCTCGCTCACCCCAAAGAAGCAGCGACGAGCCTGTCTAGGAACAACTATGATCTGTGCACATGCCACACGTTAAATCATCTGATGAAGATTGCCGTGAACACAGCATCTGGAAAGTATAGCTATAAGTTTCAGATGCGAGAATGTTTCACGTATCCAACACAATTAACTAGCAATTTGCCCTACAATTTATTTTTCCTTAACATCCATAAAACAAGTTTCTTTGCCTCTCGCCCTTCCAAGCCTAAAATAAATGTGAAAAGTCCCCGTACGCATGCACACTGCTCAAAGAATAAAATTTCACATACCATATTTTCCGGTGTATAAGACACACTTTTTTTCAGAAATTTTGTGCATCTTATCAACATCTTATCAACAGGTGCGTCTTATATACTAATTTTTACTTAGAAACTTGCAAAAAGTGGGGGGTGCGTCATGTGCAACGATGCATCTCATACATAAGACACTTTTTTTCCATAATTTTCGGCGGTGCATCTTATATACTAATTTTTACTTAGAAACTTGTGAAAAGTAGGGGTGCATCCTATACACAGGTGCATCTTACACACCAGAAAATATTGTCTTTGGTAGAAACAATGAAGCAGTAATAAAATTTAAAAAAGCAGCAGTGTTTGTTTGTTTTTTTCATTCCCATAATATAGAAGGATTTTCAATAAAAGCCTCCAAATGTTTACATTTGTGATGACAGGTCTTGTAATTATTGCCGTATCCTTCAATGGGAAGTGAAAGCACCTTTCCAGATTGGAGCGGGGAAAACTCGTGAAGAAAGGAGACAAAGTTTCAAAGAGTTCAGACACACTCTCATGGCAGTATATTTTTTCAAACATAAGTTCAGAGAGAGTGTCAAGAAAATACTGTGTCAAGCCTGGAGACATGAAAGAAAAACTTCTGGACAAAACGTAGATGAAATAGCAGAAACAGCATAGGTTAGAGTTCAGGCATTATATGACACAAGGTCTAAAAGTTGTCTGTAAATTCTGAAAAATATAAATATTTATAATCTTCAACATCTCAAGAGACACCATGTCTGTAAACTATTGTACCCGTGAATAAAACTGCTAAAGATCCTCACAATTATCATAAAGCTAAAGAACCATGCCCAGATATCTTTTGAGCAGGTCCACACAGAAAAAAAAAAGTTTATAAATATAAATATTTTAAACTAAAAAAATTGCTTTTGTAAACTTCTAACATTTGACGTTCATATGCAAAGCTAATGTTGATGAGCTCAGGATTTTGCCTCTGTAATAAGGCTGATCGACCCCGCTGAAAGATTTAAAGCACACTTTTATGCCCCTGCACGAAAAGAGAGAGAGAAAAAAAACGCATTGCACGAGAGAGTGTTGTAGTAAAACTAAACAGGATTACAACATAAAAGGCATTAAAGAAGTGACTCATTAATAACTCAGAAATGCCCCGTCTCCGAGTGAACTCTGTTCAGGCTGTGCATAATGTCTCAAGGTCTTAACTGCCTACACACTCCAGAAAACGCAGCATGCACGGTATTGTTGTCTAAAGAGGAAATACCTCCACCATCTAACGCAAAACAAATACACACTGTGTTCACACGTAGCCTTCAACCGGAAGAGAACAGGCCAGCCATAGATAAACACACAAGCATTCTAATGACATTCTGCCGAGGCAGTAAACACTGAAAGGATGTCATTGTCTCGAGGTCATTGTCCTCTTGAGTTTTTAGTGTTCCAGCTTCATAGAGTCATTGCACTTCCAAGGATACACCTAACGCTCATTATAGTCAGTGCATCCGTTTGTTATACAAACAAGCGCAATAGTCACTAAGAAGGTCAAAAGGGCGACTGTTTCGAATGCCCGAACTCCAGCACACACACTCGCTGACTTTCACTGTGCTTTGGCTGTGCATGCAGCATACTTAGGTCCTAATTCAATCACAGTAATTGAATTACTGTAATTGAATTACTTTCCTTGGTAATTTGCAATTGTAAATAATTACTTTTGGCTAAAAGGAATTGTAATTGTAAGTTAACAACTTTCTAGCATTAGTAATTGCACAATTTCAGGCCCAATTACAAGTACTTTTGCAAAACGTTTCGGCGCCGACAGAACCTCTCGCAATGCTTCAGCGCTCGCACAAGCGGCCTAGCTCTCGGTGAAACACTTGCACACACAGACACAACATATATAGCGTCGCATTGTTTTTTCGTTGCTTTTTTTCTTACATCACGGGCTGAGAGACAATTTCCTTTAAAGCCTACCTCAACGGCGCCATGTGGCACCATCTGTGGCGCAAGCAGAAAAAAAATACTGTAAACATGCCAAGATATTGAAAGAACAAAATTGAGCTTCAGCTTTCAGCCGGGGTTGGGAATTTTAATTGTCTACGAAGTTGTTTTCTTTTTTTCGTTTTTGCCAGTTTTTTACGTCCCTCTTCCAGTACTGTCGGATATTTGTATCTTTTATTATTTTCAAGTTTATTTCCTATTGGTTTTACTATTGATATTATTTGCATAAGCATTTTGGAGACTGACCTCACACCTGTGAAAATTGTCACCAATGATTCAGGAGCTCCGAATCGGTTCTCGATGTAAATAATTTACAATACCATGTTTGTATAAGAATGTGGTTGTACTAGCGGGCGTGGATTTAAGTTTCATATTAACACTTGTAAAATATTCATATATTACTAACTGCCACATTTTTATTTGTCTGGCTAACAAAAGTCCGTCAACCCAATTTTTTTTCAGCGATCTAACGCTTTCCAGCATATGAACTAGTTTATTATTATTTATTAAAAACATAATAAGAATGTAGTACTTCAGTGCCCCAAACTATTAAGTTCAATCATGAATTTAACAAAATTCATAAAAGGAAAGTACAATAAATTACATTTATGCAGCGATGCTTAAGCTTCCTCAGACATTGGCACACAGAATGAACAAATACATTGCATTCTATAAACTAGTTTGAGGTTATACGGCCCAAGTCGGGTCGCTTTCCGACATAAGTAATTGTAAAATAATTGTAATTAATTACTTTTCATATAGCAGTAATTGTAATTATAGTTAAACTACTTTTGAAGCAAAGTCATTGTAATTGTACTTAAATTACATTTTGGAAGTAATTTACCCATGTATGGCGTGCAGGCTTGAAGCTCGAGAGACGCCCAAGTGTTATCGAAGGTAGAAAGTGTGCACAGGAGGCGGAACCAAGCCTCTCTTTGCAGTTCTCGTCATATCAGTTACTATGACAGTCCAAGGGTGTCGGATTTCATACTGACAACAGATAGCACGCTATTCTGAATTTTGGTAAAATTAGTGATAAGCGTTAACAGTTGTGAGAGGATCCTAAGACATTCAGTAAGTAAAACTTCTATCACCAGTTTCAATTACAACATTCAACCCACAAAACATAATTTGACGAAAATAAGTGTGCCCTTTTTGCAACAATGATAAAAGTTTAGCGCTCAATTTGCTGCAATGTTTTCAGCAACAAGAGGGTTTACATGCTCAGTTTCTTGCACTTTTTGCACCAGTAATGAAAGGCCATATGCTCATTAACAGTGGGTTCCAAGATGAGCCTACATTGAGCCAGATCAAACAGGCTGTAACGACTCATCAGCCATGTTGCAAGATGACTCAACAGTTTCTGCAGCTCAAGAAAAAATACACTGCCCCTCACAAACAGATACACCTTAAGAACCTACTACAATCTGTGTAAAGCAAGTACACAACTGCAAACATCTCAGCTCTGGTTTCCAGCAATCACCACCTTGACAGAGTAATCTCAGAGTTAAAGAGTTGCATGCTTGCTCCATGTGGCACGCATACAAGTACTGATTCAGAAAAAGCACAACAGCTTAGCTAACTAGATTCTCATATATACATATATAAAAGGTACTTAAACATTACTGGATGCAAAGTCAGCATATCCAGTCTCCTAGTCTAGGATTGCAGCTGTTTCCGTAAACCTATGCCTTTGGTCGTAGGTTTGCAGGAGCCTAGCATGGCGAACTGTTCAGAGTTTCCTAGTTCGTAGGATCCAACAAGACATTGCTGCTACTTTGTTAGCTTGCAATGCTGTCTTGTCTGGCCAGCTTTGGCTGGACTGGGACCCCCGAGTTCTTGCAAAGGCAAGCTGGTCATACCACCTCAATGACGTCGCACCACACCACGCTTTTAAGCTCCTTGGCCCGCACTATCAGTTTCCCGAGAGGTAGTGCCTTCACGCCGGGTCAGACAAGTTTGAGGAGACGCAGGTTCGGGAACAGGCGATAAAAACAGCGATAACGAGAGCTGCGCGCTGCCCGTTTAAAAAAAAAAAGAAAATAAATAAATTAAAAAAAAAAAAAACAGTCGTTTGCCCCTACTCTATTGTACCAGCACTGCATTCTGTAGAGCGAAGCTATTTTTGTTCCCAAGGTGAATCCCACGTCACAATTGAGTGGATTTCTATAGTCCACGCGCCTTTCTGAATGTCGCGTGCAAGCGACATGAACACACGCGTGAGCGCTTGGCTGAGGTGGCAAGCAAAAAGCTCCGGCTCAAGTCAAGCTTGAGGCGTATTGAAATAGGCGTCTGGGATGTCTGAATGTCGAGGAAAAGGCAGCGTTGATCGTGAGGTAAAGAAGAGAACAAGTCGTCGAGGAATTGTCCTTGATCGTGGAATCACTCACACCCTTTCCACGATGAGATTCAACGAGGCTCAAAAGAAAAAATAATAATAGAAAACGGCGACTGAATAAACTCTTCCTCATCGAAAATCAGCGCTGGCACGCGTTCAAAAAATGACCTGCCAATGCACTTGATTAGGGAGAAGTCTAGTGCTTGCGAATTTGTGTCCTTTTTGCTTTTTCCTTATCTCTTCTCGTGCCATCAAAATTAGTTAGTTTTTACGTCGAACACTGGTCATTCCGTTCACTGTTTTACGTGTCGAAATTTCGAAAAAGAAGAAGAGTGAAAAACGAAAACACAGTCCGACTCGAATCGGCCACAGTACCTCCAAGGTGTCTAGACGCTAGTCACAAGTGCGCGCGATATTTCTTTTGTTCTTTTTTTAGACACTTTTAAAGGGAGGCAAACGAGAAAACGAGAGGGGTGGACTCACCTCTAGGTCACAATATTCCTTTTCGAGCTGGTCCCACTCCTCGACGCACGAATTCAACTCCGGTGAGTCAATCATTCCGTCTGGTTTTTCAGCTGGGCTGCGACAAGCTAGGAAAGTTCAACGCGCACGAGATCCATAAACACGGCACGGAAGTGCCAGCGGGCAGCTGCAGCTGGAATTCTGGAAGATTTAAGAGATCGCAGACGATGAAACACCCCACTTCGCAGCCGACGCGTATATCACTGCAGCTTGGATTGAACTGGCTTATTGCATAGATTGCGACGAGGATTGTGCTTGTTATATGAATAGAATAAAAGTAATAACCGAACACTTTCGAACGGGCGGTGGCTTGCGTCACCTAGCGTGAACACGTCAAAACTCTTTTTTTAATACTTTTTTGCAAGTAGAGCGCGCTGTTTCCAAACAACAAACAAGCCTTCACGAGACGTGGGCAAACCAACCGGCGGACACTTCGAGCGCCTTCCGGTTAGCTATTTCAGCGCCATCTCTTATCCGTTGGTATTCTATTAAGTTTTTCCGGTTTACGCCGGGAAGTTTATTTAATAGAATGAGATACATATTATTGTTGCTACTTACAAATTTCAAAAATGATCCTGGTAAGATGAAACAAATATCTTGGTTAGCTAAAGTTTCGCCCTCATACTTTGCTCTCATTGGCCGGTTGTTTTTTTGTATTTTGACCGTTGAGAACAGTTGCGCGTCGGCTGCCGCGCTCGCGGATGCGTCGGCTGCTCGGCGGCGCCTGTGCCAGCGGTACGGTGGTGGTTTTCGTTTGCGGCAGCGGGCAGTGGCGTTGACCTATTGGTTATCGGTCTATTTCTGCTACCAGTACACAGAGCAAACGAAACCTTGTTCATTGCTCGACTCAGTGGTGCTCTAATTCCAGTGGCAACAGCTCTGCCAAGTTCTTTGGGTTCCCGATCGAGTGACGAAAGGTAAAGACGGGCTGCTATACTTTTGGTTATACAGTTTCGGATTGCCGAAAACTTGCTGGTGCATGTTTCTTTATGGAAGAGTTATTGTAAAGGGTCACAAGGGACAGCGCATGTATCTTAAAATGAGCGGTGTGGGCGGTATCGGTGTTAGAGCACCGCAGCTCGGTAGCTCGTGCGTGGAGCAGCTCGCTGCAGAAGGAACCTGCGAGAAACCCCGGCGATCGAATCACTGTCGCTAACTACCGCAAAGTTAAATGTGTGATTGCAGGTCTGTGAATACTTGAATAGTAGTTTCGTGTAGATTTTGTTACTTTGTTGTGCTGTGCAGTGAACGTTTTTTTTTTTTTTTTCTTTGTATAACGAGCGTGCCTAATAAAAAGAGAACTTGCAAAAGAAGTTTGGACTTGTGCTCAGACTGGCGATGTGCGCCCATCTTAAGCCGCTAAACAGCAGCGGCTGGGCATGCTTTGCATTCATTCATTGACAATTTTATGAGAACTGGCTGTCACTGAACATGCACTGTTGCTAAGCCGATCTCAATCGAGCGAGGCAAAGTCAAGTGCAATTGTTTCGGAAGCGTCGGACATTCGCAAAAAAAGGTAAACACACTTTTTTTGTTCTAAAAAAGATTACATTGTATTGTAGAAGAACGAGACGGCGGCAATGGGAGCAGTTCCCTCTTCTCTCAACATCAGCGACAATAAGATGCAAATTCGTTCGGAGTTTGGAGGCTGCTCCGAACTCCGAACGAACTCGCATCTTTTTGTCGCCGAGGGTGAGAGAGAGGGAGAGGAGGGAACACACTTCTCTCGCCCTCTCCCATAACCAAGCGGTTGCCATGACGACGGTGCGCGTATTGTTTTGTCTATTTGTTATTTCTTTTGGAGAAACCCAACGCCCGTTAGGGGAGATTTGGCGCTGCCGTCTGCAATTGGAGTCCCAATGGGAGGTATACGAAGAGTCCGCCGGTTGGGCAAACGCGCAGTTTCCGCACGAGGTGTGGGCACCGCTGCGCGTGGAGTGGAGCGTCTGCTCATGCACCCTGTAGGGTGCCTACATGTCTGTCTGTCTCAGGGTGAAGACATCCATTGTTGCCCTGAATGTGCCAGCGCGTGACGCTCTCGCGCACTTGGTGCGTGACTTGGGCGGTAAAATGGCGTCTATGCATTAGCCAAAGCTACGCGCTCGTGCTGACTGATACCGGATTGCGCGCAGTTCAAAATGCATAGAAAGAACGATTGGGCGGAAAAATGGCCGAGATGTCACCACTCAAGCAAAAGCGCGCGTGTGTATGAAGGCACTCTAGCACCCTGCCAATAGCAGCGCCACCGCAGCGGCATGACGTCAGCGCCGCGACACAAAACAATAGGCTCCTTGTTGCACTGACGTCATATCGCATACTTTTGAACACCAAGTAAAAAGAGGAGAGGGAAGCTGCTTTTGTAATAATTTTGAGTGACAAGTTAATCTTCTATAATCTTCTGGGAGGAGAATAGCAACGCCTGTGCAAGTCCGGTAGATACAAAGGAGGATCCTGATAAGAAGGGAGCTCCTTCTTCCCCTTTTCTCTGGAGGTCATCGGAAATGACATCATGTGCAAGCCACGTATAGGGAGTATTCACTTGACGCCACATTTGTGGTTGCTGTTTAGAGCGCATGCTCAGAACGAGCTCACATTAATAGGCTGCCAAGATTGGCACTCTCGATGGTGCAGAATGCACGTTGCAAAAGAACTGTGGAAGCTCGCCTTCAGCATGCGCTCAGCATTCGCGCACACAGCTCTGGCCGCCAGTGAATACTCCCTATAGGAGAGAGAAAATTAAAGAATAAACAGGTAAAACAATAACGACAGAACTTCTACTCTTTCGGGTTGCGGTGACTTCAGAACGACGCCGAGTTTCGATTGGTAGACTTCAAGATGCCTTGAAGTCTACCCGCATTATTTTTTTCAATCAGCCAATAAGAGTTCATCAGAACTTGCAGCGCGACTGGGACAAGGACGGACAGAGGAGAAAACACTTACCAACTTACCAACTTACCAACTCGCCCGATTGTCCATTTTGCAGCTATTCGTGTAAAACTAGCACAAAGTGTCTGATTGCTTAATTGTCCTATTCAAATTCCCTGAAAAGAAATGTCACAAATTTTATAAAACATTGTTTTCCTTTTATTTTTCATTTGAGAAACCTCTTGCTAGAGCTGTTGCGAACTGCCCTAGAACACATTACAGAATTCAGACAACACCATACCCAACCGTTAAAAAGTAAAACATTTTTCTTGAACGGTTAACATCCAAGGAGCTTCGAGCCCGACAGATGAACTATACCAACAAACCTATTGACGAAGACATTATGCAGCAGCAAACACGAGCGACTCTCATGTGTCATCATCTTTCAAGAAGTTGGTGACCAGCTCTAGAAATTCTGCGGGTTTGTCGGCTTGGACCCAATGGCCTGCGTTTTCCACGTACACGATGTCGGCTTTCGGAAACCGTTCCCTGATTGGACCGTGATGCTCTTCCCTGAAAACAAAGTTGATAAAAACTGTGTTGCAAAAGCTAAGGCCACACAGCAAATACATACAGCACACTGGGAAAGATATTTGCCTATCAGGATGATGCCAAAGTTTAGCTTTTGTGCTTCCCTTCACTGGCCTTCTTTCTTCCTCGCTTTCCCTTCTAAGATATTCGGCTTCCTGGTCTTTAATTTAGATGACAAAACAAATCAATGAAATGCTTTTTATAGAATTTTCTGGTATAGCTTCAATATATTGCATATGATGCTTGATATGCAATTTGCAAGCGTTAAATTGGAAAATTACAGATGTTGATAGCTTGAACAAAATTTAATTGATCCGATTTTCCCATAATTTTGACGTAGGGTATGCTTGGCACGGATGCCTACATCTACATGGTCTAAGCTGGTTTTGCCACGACTTCTGTCAGAGATTCAGCAAGTCATGAGAAAACTAATTAAACCCTGAAACGCACATTTTTTTTCGACAAGTTTTCCCACATGTGTTTCATGACCCTTTCAACTCTTTTTGTCCCCATCATTTTTAACTCACTTGCTGCATTGCTTGTTGCGACTCCACTGCTGCATGCATGTTGGAGATGCTGAAATTGCATGTATCTTAGAGTTACAAACAAAGTCACAAACACGCCCACTCCTTTGCTTGTTGCGACTCCAATGCTGCTTGCACGCCGGAGGTGCATGCAAACTTGCATGCATTTCAGAGTAACTACAACATTGCATGCGCCTTGCCACAGCTCACGAAGTTGCATGCAACTCCAACGGCTGGTCCAGGCCTCACCTGACGAAGATCGAGTTGCGTCCGCAGATGAAGAGTACCCTACCATCGTAGGTCAGACCCTTCAGCTCCGGCATCTGGGTGATGTTGCGCATGCACGACTCCAGCGTCTCGGCGTTGAACTGCCACTCGTAACTGTGCTCCCCCTTGCGAAGGTTGGTCAGGAGAAATTGCAGTACGCCATACTCCTGAAAGAGTGCACCACCAGCCCAGTGAGCCTGTAGAAGGGGGAGGCTAGAGCCGCCGAATAAGCCACGCCTCAGAGTATCGACGCTACATTCCCCGGGTGTTTCGTGGACGCCGCCATTTTGTTGCCTCGTGCAAAGCGGGCTCAGTTGGCTATTGGGGGCGTACGACACCCAAAGGGGGTGCGCCGCTTTGCCTCGGCAGCTGGTTTGCAGTGCTGCCACCGACAGTATCTGCATTACACCGCATAGTGAAGCGCCGCCCGCTCCGACTTCTTCTAACGCGACTGCAACGTCTTCGCCGCATCTGCGCCTTTCTGCGGCCGTGTTTCTCGATCTTGCTTCGGAGGAAAGCTAATTGGCACCTCGACATTCGAAAACATATCCATGTCCAGCGTTGCTCTGCGTGTGTTCCTGTATCGCTCGACCTGCAGGAGTTTATCGGAGCTCGAATTGAATTGTGTATGCCACAGTTGTAAGCGACAACGATGGCAGCACACTGTGTTTTTCGTTTATCTGCGCCGGAATAAGCCTTTGTGAAGCGCCTATGAGATTCGATGATCCGAAAATCGCTACAAGACGACATTCACCAGTGCCAGTACGTCGATAGAATCTATGCAAAAGGTATTTTTCGCTCCACCTATTATCAGATTGCACCACGCTTGCGGGCGGATCAAGTGGACGTACTGGGATCGAGATGATTGCGGCAGTTTTCGACAGCGCACCGAGGGGATCTGTGTTCTCAATTTACGGGTTTTGCAGTGTGCCTAGCAAATTATTACTTTGAAATTCAGTGACTTTTCTATGTTTTCCCTGACAATTTCAGGTGAAATTCCCAGGCCACTGTAGAGGCGGTTAAATGTGTAAGACCATTACAACACAAGTCATTGAGCATTGAGCACTGCGAGGATCATTTTACACGGGCTTAATCCAACTTGCATATTTCGAAATATTCGGGTTTGTCCAGTCCGGACTAAACGAGCACTTTCTTGCCGCCAACGTCGTCAGTGAAGAGGCCGCTACCAGAAACACAATGAAAACACGACGCTCAACCACACACGTCAATAACCGAATGGCAGCATGGCCGCCAGATGCACAATTTTGGATACTTTTGGCTTGGATTGGATCGGGGTCTCACCTTTTCTATTTGTTACTACATCTAGTAGCTCTAATTGGATCTAGCCTAATGTCGCAAACTCAATCTAAGGCTGGTACTGGATTTGTCGGCTGTTTAATTTGCATCGAGTAGCACACTCTACATCGGGTGAGCAGAGCCCACACTTTGCTTTGAGCAGAATTTATAGCCTAGTTGTTTTTTTCTGCCCCCCAGGGCTCGCGGCAATCGATGGCGTTTCCGCCTCATTTTCCCTGACTAGGCTCACTTTTTGACAATATCCCTGACAATTCCCAGTTTTCCCGGTTTTCCCGGTCACTAGACACCCTGTTTTGTGCAAAAACTGTTTGTGCCAACTGCAGCCCCGAACGTTTCGTAAAGCACTGTGCCAAGGTAAGCCGACATAGATTGGAAACTATGGTCTTCCGTTACGCGGGATGTTTATGCGAAATGCTTCCACAAAAAGTCGCACCGTGGCGCTGCCGTCGTGTTGCACGCTTTCAGTAGTTGCAATCCGAAAATTTCACTTATTGGTCTTTAGACACTGTGTCAGGAAGCTCAGGCAATGCCATTTTGCTGTATTGCAGACTGTTAGAAGAGTTCTGGGGGTACAAAAAAGGGTTTCCTGCGGCATCGGAAAAAGTTTCAGGCAACTGGCAACATTGATTTTAAGCAACAGTACAGGGTAGTTGCTCCGAATCATGTTTTATTCGACAGCCCTAGGAAGGGCGACGCACCAGGAGAGGGCAGTGGATAGAGGCACTATGCGAAGCTACCTCGAGACAACCTCGCTACGACCCACCTGGACGACGCTACCCAGGTGTCTCTCGGCTTCCTTGCGTGCGGCTGGAGAGCTCATCTCGGGGGAGATGTGCTTCAGCGTTTCCCTCATGGCCCTGAGGTAGGTGAGCACCTCACCGTCGACGGTGGTGGGCATGAAGGTCGGTGCCACGTCCACCACCACCAGGCGCTCCACCATGGAGGGCTGCGCACAGAGAGAACCGGTACACCGTTAGCAAGGGTTAAAACAGCAAAGAACTTCTGTAGAGTATCCCTCCGCTCATTAAAACGGTGACTTTATAAAAAAAAACATTAAGTGCTGGAGAAATCATAAAAAGAATGGCAGGGTCTTGCTTCCAAAAGAATTTCAATCTTGGTTTCAAATACTTTTAGTATTGTCCGAGTATGCACTTGTACTTAAAGTTCTGGTAATTTTGAAACAAAGCACAACTCCATACATTAAAGTAGATTCAACAAATACAATCTTGTAAAATTTGAATCACAAAATGATGCTTTGCCAACTCTGAAGAAATACTGGGATGGATATTCTACCTACTCTCACCAGAAATGCAAGCAGCCAACGAATCACTCCGCTTGCACTGGGGGCGGCTTTCCCGCAGCACTTCAAACTCTCACTCGGTTGCAGAGGCAAAGAGGTTAAAAATATTAGGAGAGGACACTCCTCCACGAGAAGATTGCTTGCGGAAGCTATGGGGCTGATGTCACGCTCTCCCCTAGTATGTTTAAAAGGGCACTGACAGGGTATTTCTCCATGCCAAGGTTTTTCTTTGTACATTACATATGAGAGCCACACTGCCCAGAACACATTTTGCGGCTCAAAATTTGTTTTCTTTTCACCCGAAAACCACCGATCAAGAATTGGCCGGCTTGAGTCGTGCTCACTCTCTTCTTTGTGGTCACCTGTTGTTTTCTATAGCTTAGACACAACCACCAAATTTAATCAAAGTCGTAGGTCATCCAAGACACACACACAATATTAAAAAATAGAAAAGAAATATGATACCCATTTTTCGTGATTTCTAAGAAGTTGCAAATGCGTTGTTTGGCAAAAAAAAGAGTAACACGGCCACATGACTTCTGGTGTCAGTGCTCCTTGGCTGTAAGCCAGTTCAAGTGGCACCAAACTAAAAAGTCGGAGGGACTTCTGAATTTGGAGCCATTTCCGAAAATAAGTACTCTGTGGCCACTTGGCTTAATCCAATATTCGCCGCCATTTCCGAAAACGATTGATGCATCCTTGATTACCCTTGGGGCAATGCATACCAATTTTAAAAGAAACGCTGTATAGGGGAATGAAAAGGCATCATAAAAGCTGGGGTTAAGAAGTACTTGTACCTTAAAGGGCAACTCCGCTTCATTTTTGGTTATGAAAAAACAATGCGGTCCTCTTCAGTATCGCCTAGGAAGACCACACGTGAAATGTTACGACGCAGTTCTGTCTAAATGTTTCTTAAACGGTCCGGCAAACTTTGCAGCTCGCCAAGTTGCCGAAATCGGCTGACTTGAGCAGGCGAATTCAGGCACAACCAACAGCGCAGTCAAGGCTACGGCATGGGCGGAGCCAACATTCAGCTAAACGTCATTATCATGGCCCCCTTTTGCTTGTTTTCACTTCTCCGGGCGAGCGTAGCACATGACGTCAGCAACGTTGCCTCTCGGCGCTCAGCGGTGTCCACGTGATTGGTGTAACGCACCTGCGCAGCGCGTTTCTTGGGAGCCGTCCGGCCGCCCGCCGTGGTCCCACCATTACCGCCGTCTTTCGCGTCACAACCGCCGTCGTCGTCTCACTGATTGTGATTATTCGTACACACTACGGACGCCACATGCGCAGACTTATCCCGCAGTAGTGCAGACGTCGTCGAATGCCGTAGACACCAAAACATGGCGAAGAGTGCGGTGCAGACGACACTCGCGCCTGCCACACGCCCGCCCCAATCCCGCCCGTCGTTGGGCCGAGGATCACGTGACATCTCGTACCACGTAATGGCCATGTACTTGGCGACCCAAGGCCAATGTTGCCGGGCGGAGCCGAAGTTTCGGTTTCGATTTCCGCTCGTGTTTAAAATTAGATTTAAAAATATATATCCCATTTTTCGCGAAGCAAACGACGTAGTGCGTTTTACTAGGGCTTTATAATTCGAAATCAATCATTATCCCGAAATCTTCGGAATTGAGCGGAGTTGCGCTTTAAGGTCCGTTCACACTCTTGCGACCAACTTCGAACGAAAGAGACCAGACCGGTTTTTAAGCCTCTTGCGACTTCTTAAAACCAGCTCCGCTGCATCGCATCCGGTCCTAAGAAGTCGCAAAAGGCTTAAAAACCGGTCTGGTCTCTCTCGGTCGAAGTCGGTCGCAAGAGTGTGAACGGGCCTTTACTTGAAAGTACATTTGTGGCACTTTAAGTACATTATCCCCAGAGCACTTACTACTTTCCTTGAACTACATAACCTCTCATTTACTTTGTACTTTAAGTAATTTTAGATGCACTTTACCAAATATTGCTATAATACACACGTTGCTGAATGCCTCTGAAGGCCATGCAACACTAACACGGCCTTAGATTGGCTTTGATGGCTTGTAGTGTCCCCTGTGGACCATCGCAAAATGAAACGAAGTATAGATCCTTTTTATAAAAATGATCCAAGAAGCCGCTGCTGAACTTTACGTCCCCGCGACCTTCCAATCAAACGTGGAAGGAAACAATCCCCACCACAAAACTGCTCTTTGCAGCGCCCATAAAATATTTTTCAAAATGGAAGCTTAGGAAAAAATCAAATTTGAGAGTTTTACGTGCCAAACCGTTGACGGGCATCTGGCACAACCCAGTGGAGGACTAATGATTAATTTCGACCACCTGTGGATCTTTTGACGTGCCACCGAAAGCTCGGTTAGATGGCGCCTTCTCCGCAATAAGCCTCCGTCGGATTGCGGGCACCTCGGCCAGGATTGGAACCCGCCACCTGGGGATCCGTAGGCCGGCGCCTTGCCACGAAGCCACTGAGGCGGCTATGGAAGCTTCGGCAGTTTGGTAAGGCACAATGATCAAACCATACACCACACAAAGACAGTAAAAGAAGAAAGAGGACACATTCGCTGATTAGCGACTGTATGTCCTCTTTCTTCTGTCCGGTCTTTGCGCACTGTATGTCTTAATCATCATGAAATATTTCACCACCAATTCTCCAGGTGCTTCGCTAAAGAACCGGTTAGCGAGCGATTTGTTGAAGAGTTTCAGCTAGTCCTATAAGACAGCCGATCACTTGGAATATGTTTAATAACGCAGAAGAAGGACCTTTCTAAATTTCCAACTTTGTCGTTTCTATAGCACTTAAAAGGTCCCCGAAATCATGGCATAAACAAGCTCAGAACGCTTAACGAAACAAAGCAATCAGAAGCCGCTTGGGCACAAGAGACGGCTGGTAATTGTGAACACAAAAAGTGTCTACAATGGCTCCTCTCCTCGCCTTGCTGTGGTGCTGCGACTGCTATGCATGACTATCTCCGAAGCACACGTGCTGCGTACGTCTGCACCGCGACAAAGCTTCCAGCAGTCCTCACTCGCGTCAGCGCAAAGGTCATGGCCACCCTGCCTCCCATGCTGTGTCCCAGGATGGCCGCCTCCTGCAGGCCCCTTTCCTTGCAGAAGAGCTCCAGGTCCGTGGCCATCAGCAGGTAGTCCATGTCCTCTGTGTGGGGGCTGTCGCCGTGGTTCCTCGTGTCCAGGGCGTACACCTGGGCGTGAAACGGTGCAAATTATTCGATCGTACAGGTGGATAGATGGATATGTCCTAAAGGATGTACCCTTTACAACAGGCAGTAGACTGCGCCACCTAGCCCAGAAAGCAAAAGTATTATTCCTCCCCTCGCACATGAGCCAATTTGCTTCCTATCCGCATTTTTTCAACAGTCAGCAACAAGTGTGGGATATCGCCAGGATGACTTAGGAGGAATCGGGCAGATTTCCCTAGTGAGCCCCTTTTATGGTCAATTTCACCTTACAACGGACCGCAGCAGACGCCACGAGCCATCGGAGCCAACCCAATGACGTGTGAGTGTCATGTCACCTTCGGCCCAGTCACGTTGTACGTCCACAGCACTGGATTGGCTGGGATGGCTCATAGCGTCTGCTGCAGTCCACTGTAAAAAAATGAAGTCCAAATGTCGGCTGGCCGACATCAATCAAAGCTGAGCTGAGGCTTCCGAGGTTTCCTTCTAATCTGCTACGTTCACACTCTATTGGGACTTTGTTTTCTAGTATGTGTTTGCAGTTAATTGTTTGAGGGTGCAGCAAGTAGGTTGGTAATTAGGCAAGAAATGCTTTTGCGGGATGCATTTGTTCGAGCGTAACTGGATAACAGAAATGCCAATGAGCCCTGAAACGTGCCGAAAAGAGTATGTGTTTAGACGGAGACACTTTTATAGCAGTGTGATAATAAAAAGAAACCAAGTTTCTGTGTGCCACTTGCAAGTGTGTGTGTTGCCTAATGCTTGTGCAACACGGACTTGCAGAGTCTGCGGTGCTTTAGTACCAATGTAACATCGTCGGTAGTTGCTTGGTTTAGGCCCAAAATGTCCAATCCACTACACCAGTGTCATCTAATCCTCAGATATAATGCTGGGCATACACTCTCCCCGTCACCACGGGTGTCATCGGTGCTCCTAAAGTTTACTGCTATAAATTACTGGAAAAACTCGGAATCTTGCAATCGCTACTACACCAGAGACATGCAGTGTCACTAAAGAAAGCTTGCTTGCCTTGCGTCCAGTTGTCCTAACCATGGATTTCGATATGCTCTTCCAGTTGTTCTTGCTACCGAAAAGACCGTGCAATATGACAACAGGTGCTCTTGAACACTCGGTGCTCGTCGATTCGTAGGATGCGTACGACAACGACACTCCTTTTGGCCTGTAGACAGTAAAGAAACAAAATTAAACTTCGCGTGTTGCGTCAGTATGTCGTCTGCTGCTTCGCTGAGCGACGCGACAGGTGTCCCAGCAGCGATGAACATACCCGGAATGCGTGCTGTAGTTAGAGCTGGAGATCCTTAACCTTACATTCGATAAATTGGCCCTATCTAAATGGCACATACAACTTGGAAACACTTTTATAAAGTTTACAGAACTTCGCACTGCCTGCAGCAACATCTTAGAACTTAGATTGGATTGGATTGGATGGACTTCATTGACTATTATTTTCGAAAGTATTTAGAACAAGTGGCATCATTAAATTTTAAAATTTAATGCCTGTAGGGGTTTTAATTTAATATTTGTGTGTGTATGTTTTATATCGGGATTCAAATATTATTTTTCACTCAGCTTATGATATTTGCGTGTTTATTGTAGTCCAGTCATGTCATGCGGTGAAGACCAACGTTGTGGTCGAGAAGACCGCTGGTCAACGTTGCCACTGGTGAAGACCGCCGGCAAAATTTATCCAGTGCCTTAGGTTACTCAACCTGCCTCTGCTCGTATTCAACTCATTCGACTTGATTCGACGCAGATTTCTGAACGCGCGACTCCAGCATTAGGAGGGGGCACGTTGCAATATTGGTGAAGCCTAGTCATAAAAAGTTTAAACGATTTTGTGCCCAGCGTGACCGCAGATCTCTCTGGCGATTGGTGCGCGTGACATGTCACGTGTGAGATGGATGGTTGATTGGTAGAAGGACTCCTTGCAGGCTTGCGCGTGCTCCGTCCGGTAGGTTTTATCAGATCGAAGTCTAGACTGTGGTGTATTCTAGTACTCCATAGCAAGACGAAGGCGAGCTACGGTCGTCACGTGATGTGGTCACGTTGGCATGGTAGGTGAGGAGAGTAAGGAGGAAAATGAGAAAGAGCCGAGGCGTCAAGGGAGCATGGCTTGTGAAGGCTACGCGGCCGACGTCATGCCCTCTCCTACCCTTCTATTCTCCATGCCAGCAATGGAAGGATGAATACGGCTGAGCTCTTTGGATCGGGCGGTAGCTTACGCCACCTAGCCATTTTGTTTTACCATTTAAGCTTAGAATATTTAAATGTGAAATCTATATTCACTCCGCAGTGCAAAGAAAGTGAGGCTACGAAACCCCCTTGCCATCAGTGAATAAGAAAATACCTAGTTTTCTCTCGATTTCTGCCACCATTGACTTAATCTTTGCTTGGTAATCTCTACAGTCTTGAAATCCACTCTCCCTTCACTGGATTAGTGTCGTGATGTAGGCGAGTTGGTTCATGGTAACGGAAATAAACAGCGTGCAAAAAATACACAAGGGCGAAAGGAAGGTCTGAACGACACAAGCACTTGTGTCGTTCACACCTTCCTTTCTTCCTTGTGTATTTTTTGCGCGTTGTTTATTTCCGTTCCCTTCACTGTCTCTACTTTATTAAATCTATGTTGTCTTCGGTAGGCATAGGGTGAAGCCCTTTACAGTAGAGTATCAAGTGCTCAGCCGTCTTGTCCTCCTCTCCACAAGCAGTGCACACTGTATCCATTTCCTGGTACTTCACTCTGTATGTTCTGGTTCGCAGAACACCCGTCCTCGCCTCAAACAACAATGAGCTTCCCCTAGAATTGTCATAAATGCTTTCTTTGGCAATAACTGTTTTGTTTAATCTATAGCTTTCCAGAGCCGTCTTTGTCTGCATTTCCTCTAGCCACCGATCTCTTTCTGTGGCCTTAACTTTCTTCTTAACTGAGACTTGCTCTTCCGTATCTTCGCTATAGCCCAAAAACTTTCCTCTTAATTTCCTAATGCGCTGTCTCCACTTTGTGTCTACACTCATGTATAAATAGCTGAAAACCTTTCGTGCACATTGCTCCCCATCCATTTGCCTCAACCTATCCTCAAATTCTATCTTGCTCACCGCTTCCCTGCTCTCGAAAGACGCCGATCCTATGTCTCCTTGTACTCCCTGGTTTGGCGTCTTGCAATGTGCCCCCAAAGCCAGTCTACCTACTCCGCGCTGTTTTATTTCTAGTCTCGCATGCACTTCGGATTTCATGCATAGCACTGCGTTTCCAAAAGTCAAGCCAGGCACCATGACCCCTTTCCAAATCTCTCTCACCACCTCATACCTGTTGTAATTCCAAAGTGCTCTATTTTTCATTACAGCTGCATTTCTGTTGCCCTTACCTATTATATACTTTTCATGCTCTCCGAGATATTATGCACCATCACATATCCATACTCCTAGATACTTGTATTTACTAGCTCTCTCAACTGTAATAATCTGTATCTTCAGCGTCTCAACTTCATCCTCGTTAAAAATCATGACTGTTGATTTTTTGCTACTGAATTCTAAACCTAGTTCCTCTCCTTCCATACCACAGATGCTCATTAATTCCTGCAACTCTGTCCTGTTGTTAGCCATTAGTACAATATCATCCGCATACATCAATCCCGGTAAGGATTGCTGAATTTTTTGGCCTAGCTTACTGTAAGAAAGGTTGAATCCAAGCCCACTCTTCTCTAGTCTATCCTCCAATCCTCTCAGATACAACATAAACAGCAAAGGCGATAACGGGCACCCCGGCCTAAGGCCTCGTCTTATCTCTATTTTCCCCGTCACCTTTCCTTCCCATATGTTATAATCACCTTGTTATCTTTGTAAATGTTCCTTAATAGTGCTGTTAGTCCTTCATCTAGGTTTAAGCTCTCCATTATGTCCCACAGGTTCCTTTGGTTCACATTGTCATAGGCACCCTTGATATCCAGAAATGCCAGCCAGAGCTGTCTGTTTTCTTTTTGCGCTATTTCTATACACTGTGTTAAAGAAAATAAATTGTCCTCCAACCTTCTTTGTTTCCGAAACCCGTTCTGTAACTCGCCCAGTATGCCCTCGCAATCTACCCATTCCTCCAGTCCGTTCTTTATAATCTGCATTACCAACCTGTAAATAACCGGTGTCACGGTTATAGGACGATAATTCCTAATATCAGACTTATCTCCCTTTCCCTTATATATCATACTCATCCTACTAAGCCTCCATTCATCTGGAATATTTCCTTTTGTTATCATGGTACTCACTACCTCCCTTAGTTTTGCCTTAGATTTAGGACCCAAATTCTTCACCAGCTTGATAGGGATACCATCTGTGCCTGTCGACGTGCCACTAGGGACTCTTCGTTCCGCCTTTTCCCATTCTCTTTGTCCAAAACGGACGCCACCAAGCGGGAAAACTGGGAACCAGCCGGAACAGGTCGCTTTGCGCAGTCTATGCGCCTCCGCGCTTGTCTCCGCATCTCTGGTGGCGCTGGTGGCTTTCGCGGATACTAGCGGATACGTGTTGTAGGCGTGGTAGCGAACAAGTAATTTGAAGAAGGTCCGAAAATTTCTTAAGTTTGCTTGAGTGTTCACTAGTGTGATGAAGCCTCAGTAGATTGTTTCCTTCCATCACGTGTTTGAAAGCCTCTTTAACTCCACAACACACGGTCGCGTGCTTTCGATTTCTTGGATGGGGAGGAATCACGGAAAAATGTTTGATTGCTTGTCTGTCTCGAATTACATTCAAAGTGACGACTACTTGGTAACTGATAAGTGATGTAGAACAGTGCACTGAGGACGACAGACGAGGTGTTTCACTGGAGGGAACACCAATGTTGCAGTCAAGTGAATGGGAAGGTTTTTTTCTCGAGTTTGGTTGTGATCGATTAGCCTCAAGTTTGAGCCACCCACGCCGGTCGGTGCGTTGGCTAATCATCTTGGCTGCTTCTCGCCGAAAAAGCCTATGGACCACCGAAGGAGTTGGGCTGATTTCGCAATTACTCGGTTCTGGAAAACCTGCTGGTTGCATACGATTAATGGGGGAAATTATCTGCTTTCAAAAGGTGGGGGACGCGTCTTGCAAAGTTAGAAGCTGTCACGGCATTATAATATATTGCGCCTCCCATATTTATATTACCCCCGTCGAAGCCAGCACCAATATACGTCTACATTGCTCAGGTTGACTGGTCGCAAAAAATACTAATTTTCTCCGTCGAGGATTCCAAGTCAAGTTAATGCAGAGAGGTTCTGCGTGAATCTCCGATGAAGACTCTTCAGTTTTTCCGCATTTGTCTTCGTGCTACCGGCTAGAACCACTTGGCTCAGTTTAAGTAGTATCTCCCTGTCTGTCAAATATATATACTTTTATTCAGCAGTTCACTTAATAGCTACTCAACGAAGCTCATATCTCAACCCGAAGAATATACTAATATCGCTTTAGTGGGACACAGTACATAATATAATACATAACCCGCTTGTCAAAATGACCTCTCGATTGCTACTAAAACCTGAATTGAAATACGGCTATCAGCTGCTTAGGGGGCGCCAGTGGGTTAACATGGTCCTTGGCTCAAGAAGCGCTTTCTTAATTTTCATAATTTTTCCGCAGCTTGTGTTGTTGACCGAGCGGACGACTGGAGCTGTTTCTTGAATGCAAATATGCTCAAAAGCTCGATTTCGTGGACAGATAAGTCGCATGGTCAAGACATGCGAGTTAGCTGAAAATTACTCTCGGTGGAACAATTATGTAGTCATCGCCGTTTTCCTTAGCTGATCAAAACTGATTAGGGTCTATTACCGTCTCTCCGGAGCTCATAGTTTAGGTTTTGGACGAAATCTTCGAAACAAAAGTTTGACATGAAAAGAACAAAAGACACCAGGAAAACAAAACTATGCTCTGCAAGTTTATGTGCACCTGCTACACTTAACCATTGCAGTTCAAATACCTATAAAATTGGGCATTAAACAAAAGGAAATCTTAAATTAAATGTGCCACCCCTTCAGGCGGCCCGGCCGAGCCGATGCAACCTGGACCCACCTGCCATGTTTGTTTGGTGGTGGCGCCACCTATAGGTCGCTGGAGTCGCGATATTAGTTGTTTCCACTGTGTTAGAGCGTTGTTGCTTAAAGGGGTAGTGAAACGAAATTTTAGCGCCGATCTTGTTGCATAAATATGGGCTAGGGACAGGCACCATCTCGGAAATATAAATATTGCGCTGTAAAACACAGGAGAACTAATTTTAAACATAATTAAACGATTTCAAATTCTCATCTGGTGGATGGGGGGAAGTTCTCGTGACATTACTTGTGCCAAAATAGCAGCGCCATTCTGCGGCAATACGGCGTGCCGGCAGAATTCGCCTAGGCCTGAACGCGTTCGCAAAGCCTTGGCGGAGAAAGCCAAAGCGTAGTTGGCCACAGTGAGCTCGTTCTCGTTGCGGCTCTTTGCACGACACGGCCCGAGCATGCTTCTGGCACGGCCGGTATTAGTTGCTGCGAGTCGCGAGCTGCAAGCCGACGTTAAAAAGGATATGTTTGAACTACGAGGGTGTCAGCAAGAGCCACGCAAATGCCAAATACCTGTTCACACTCGGAGCGGACACGCACGTTTGATCGAAGTGCTGGATTCGCTCTGTTAGACCGCGTTTCGGTAAGCGCTTCTGGACCGATATTTTACGATTGCAACTCGATACTGACATGACACTCGGCAAAGAAAGGTTAGACCGACATCGCGTAGCTCCCACGAACTGCTATAGCTCGACACTGACGTAGCGTCGAGTCAGAATAAAAATGGCATACTAATAACAGAGTGTACATACCGAGTTGCCAAGGTAATCTGTATGGCGTTTATTTGAGCTCTATATCACACAAAACAAGGAGATAGAATCAATGAGAGTTCCTTTTCGACGACAGCGTTCGTCACCGCTGTCTCGGAAAACAAGGAGATCGAGATGACAAGGGAAAAATATTGACCTCTGAAATTTAGTTCAAAGATCAAACTACTCATCCGGTAAGGGTCCACAAGGGTCGCGCGGGCATATTCCATTCAGCAGGCCAGCCGGTCATGGACAGACGGTCTTGGCCAAGGACCGCCGGAGCAACGGTGCGCCGAGTCGATGTTGCTGCTAGGCCTACTATATTCTGCCGAGCTCGCTCGGTCGGCAGAATCGTGGCTGTTGTAGTTCTTCTCGTGTGTTTGTGGATCCTGCGTTCTTGATCGTCGTGGTCTGTTTTAAGTACTCCTTCCTTTTTTCTTGCTGGTTGAAGTCGGGACGCACGAGAAGAGCACGAAGAAAAATAAATGTCCGTTGGTGGCCGATACCAAGTAACTGAGCGACGCTGTCGGCCTTGTTGATTTGATCGTAAAAAGTGTGTAAGACAGCTTCGGAGCTGTCGTAGGATTCTGTCGTAACCTGCGCAAAGCTAGGTTACGACAATTTCGTTTCGAGAGCACGGGTTTTCTCTCAAATTTGTCGTACGCACTTTTTTCGTCATGAATTCGCTTTGAGAATCCGGCCTCAGAGTTGGTTTTGTCAGTGCTGCCGTGGTTGCCGACTTGCCGTGGTCCCGTGGTGCAGCGTGCGTGCAGCCCTTGCACATCTCAAACGGCCACGTTGTCACAGGTCGTAAATCGTCGACGCGCCACCAAGTGGCAACGCTCGTAACCACAACATTCACGCCGTAGCCTTTCCCGACCGGCACAAGTGACGTCACGAATGCGCCCAATATCCCAAGACGCATCACGCTCTCCGATGGCCGATTTTTGAGCGCGCGCCCAATCGGGCCCATCAGGGTGAAAAATATAGCCATCCGTTCAAAATACAAACGCGCGATTATGATTTATGAATATCATTGATCATATTGAACCTATTTCTGACCATAATAGGTGTATTTCAAGTTTCGCTTCAGTATCCCTTTAAGGTACTGTCACTATGTCGGCGACCTTGATGCATAGGGTCATTGCCATGGCCCTAAAACGCCGATCTGGTAAGTTTGACGCGGACTACGCCGGAGAAGTGCATTGCACGCTGATAGCATGTGGAAAAGACGTCAACAACGATCTAGTAATGGCACCGATAAAAATGCGGTATTCTTGTCGTTAACTGCTCGCTTTCTACGTTCTCTCTTGCGCACCGCATTTAATGTGTGACACGGCATTGGCTAAGCATGCAATGAATAAAAGGATAGTAATGCTTAGCACGTAAACCGTTGCTATGTCCACTTAAATTACCGTGGAAAAAGTGACGGAAAAATGTAGGAGAGAGAAAATGAAAGAAAGAATAAACAGGTAAAACAGTAACGACACAACTTCTATTTTTTTCGGGTTGCAGTGACGTCAGAACGACGCCGAAGACCTCAAGATGCCTTAATGTCTACTATATTTTTCAATCGGCCAATAGGAGTTCATCATAACTTGCAGCGCGACTGAGACAAGGACGGACAGAGGAGAAAACACTTGCCAACTTACTAACTCTTACCAACTTGCTCGGTTGCCCATTTCGCAGCCAATAAGTGCTCGGCATTCTTACAGCATCGCACCCCCTGCGCAAGACACAAACTTGCGCTCCGCATAGCACCGCCCGGTCGGTGTCGGCCATAAAAACGTGCATGGGTGCAATGCCTTTCCCTGAACACCTGCACACCGAGCGACACTGTGCAAGAGAAGTGCAAAAAAATACAATACTACACATCATAAAAAAAAAAAAAAAAAGATGATGTGTTACTCTTGCTTTACATGCAAGAAAGATGTGGTTGCGTTGTCCTTGTTTCACATGCTTACTCTTTCTTCAGTTCTAAGCCGCACCTTCGTCCATCAAGAAAATTAAAGAAAAGAAACACACCCTCACTCTCTGCACCCTCCCCCTTCCCAGGACAAAATCAGCTATTCGTGTAACACTAGCACAAAGTGTCCAATTCCTCGATTGTACTATTCAAATGCCCTGATCAGAAATGTCACAAATTGCATAAAACATTGTTTTCCTTTTATTTTTCATTTGAGAAACTTCTTGCTAGAGCAGTAGAAAACTGCCCTAGAAAACACGACAGAATTCAGACAACACCATACCTAACAGTTAAAAAGTAAAACCATTTTATTGAACACTTAACATCAGAAAAGCCTTGAGCCCGACGGATAAACATAGACCCTTTCTTCAAGAGCGCCGCCATCTTGAATTGTCGTCACTTCCAGTATGGGCAAAAACATTGTTTTGCCGTCGCCACGGCAGTAGAAGACACTTAGGCTACTAGCGTAACCGTCACACATTATCGTTTTGCCTCCCCCTTATTTTAGAGCGCAGCTCTTAGGGGCCCGTTCTCGGCTTGAGCGGCGTCGCCGTCGCCGTCGCCAAGGTCATCTCAAGGTCACGTGACCCCACGTGACTCCCAAGGTCACGTGACCCCTCGAGGTCACGTGACCCCTCCCAAGGTCATCTCAAGGTCACGTGACCCCAAGACCCCACGTGACCCTTTGAAGGTCACGTGACCCCCAAGTCACGTGACCCCTCTGAGGTCACGTGGTCTCCTCCCCAAGGTCATCTCAAGGTCACGTGACCCCTCTGAGGTCACGTGACCCCCCGAGGGCACGTGACCCCCCTCCCCGAAGTCACGTGACACCCCCCCCCCCCCCCCCCCCCCCGAAGTCACGTGACACCCCCCCCCCCCCCCCCCGAGGTCACGTGACCGCCCCCCGGAGCATATTAGAGAATGAGGGGAGGAGGAGGGGTCTACCCTCCCCTCAGTACCCTTCACTCCTCCTCCTCAAGAGCTGCGCTCCAATTCGGCGTTACAGGGATTTGTAAACGGCTTTCACTTTTTTTTTGTCGCACATACCGGATACGCCTACTAGGTGGCAGGGGACGAAAGTACACAGAAAAGGTTTATATGAACAAACCTGTTGACGAAGACATGATACAGCAGCAAACAGGTGCAACTCTCATGTGTCGTCATATTTCAGGAAGTTGGTGACCAGCTTTAGAAATTCTGCGGGCTTGTCGACTTGAACCAAATGCCCCGCGTTTTCCACGTACACGATGTCGGCTTTCGGAAACCGTTCCCTGATTGGACCGTGATGCTCTTCCCTGAAAACAAAGTTGTTGAAAACTGTGTTGCAAAAGCTAAGCTCACAGAGCAAATACAAACAACACACTGGGAAAGATATCTGCCTATCAGGATGATGCCAAAGTTCAGCTTTTGTGCTTCCCTTTACTGGACTTCTTTTTTCCTCGCTTTCCCTTCTGAGATATTGGGCTTCCTGGTCTTTCAGTTAGCTGACAAAACAAATCAATGAAATGCTTTTTATAGAATTTTATGGTATAGCTTTAATATATTGCATATCATGCTTGATATGCAATTTTAAAGCGTTAAAGTGGCCCTGCAATGACTTTTTGACTAGTTTTTAATTTGCACAGAACTTGAGTGCACTGAACGTAGTAACTTGATGAAACTTTTTGTTTCTCGAATTTCACTTTATTCTAAAAGTTATAGGCAAATTAGAATTACAAAAAAACAAGCAAAAAATAACCTCCTTCATGACGTCGTAGGTCCTGGCTTGAGTGGCTCTGAACTAGAGGAGGGGTATTGAGCTCATTGAGCGCTCACGGTTGCCACGCTCCGTGTCGACAGCTCGAGAGGGCGCCACTAAAGCATGTTCTGGATAGGCTTTATGAAGCGGGCAGCCAGGATGGCTCGCATTGCATTTGCTGCGCAATTAAAGACTAATTCGGCATAACACTTCATTGGCCACAAAAGACAGCAAACACGGGGTAAAGATCAGTTCAGAACGGGAGCCACTTCGCGATGCCATACCGCCAAATGACCAAATCGCCAGCAAGGCCCGTGCCAAAGGCCTTCGGAACGCTCAGAACCGGTCGGATCCTCGAGCCGGTATACGACCGCAGTGCCACCGCATACATTCAGGTCCTTTCTACGCTCGCCGTTCGTCGTAGCCTCATCCCACTAGTTCTTTCTAGTATGCACCGTTGTTTCCGCCGCTTGGTGGCGGGTATGTCGACAGGTCATTTCTTGTTTCCGTACATTAAAAACTGCATTTGTTTCTTTTCTTATCTAAAATACTGAACAAAATCTACTTTCATATACATAATTAAAACGGTTCGCGACACTTATATTTTGTATCTCGACTAAAAAAAAACTTTTAGTGGCTCTGACCAGTAGTCAGGCCAGGACCAAAGACGTCACATATTGCGCGCTTTCGGCAACGCGGGTCCCCCTCGTAGGTGGAGGTGGCTTCCGCGTCGTCCGGTTAAAATATGACACACTGATATTTAGTTACTCTCTCCTTTGGGCAAGCACTGGCTTGCCCAAACCCCAAGAGACGTGGAAACCGCAAAGAAGGTAGACGCTTAAATATGATTGCAGGGCCCCTTTAAATGGGAAAATTACAGATGTTGGTAACTTGAACAAAATTTAATTGATCTGATAACGTAAACCTATACAAAATTACCGGTTCAATCCAGTGGAGTATATTTCCCATAATTTTGATGTAGGGTATGTCCAGCACGGTTCCTACATCTACATGGTCTAAGCTGGTTTTGCCACTGTCTTCTGTCAGAGATTCAGCAAGTCATGAGAAAAATAATTAAAACCTGATGCACACATTTGTTTTCGACAAGTTTTCCCACATGTGTTTCATGACCCTTTCAACTTTTTTGCACCGATTATTTCTATTTTAACTTACTCGCTGCGTTGCTTGTTGCGAATCCAATGCTGCATGCATGTTGGAGATGCTGAAATTGCATGCATCTTGGAGTTACGAACAGTTGCCTACACGCCCGCTCCTTTGCTTGTTGCAACTCCAATGCTGCTTGCACGTCGGAGGTGCATGCAAACTTGAATGCATTTTAGAGTTGAATTGAATTTAGAGTTGAATTGAAGTCTTTATTTCTTTCGGATCAACCGAAAGGGAAACAGAGACTAAAGGCAGAAAATGCCTTTAGTAATTACAATATTGCATGCACCTTGCAAAGTTGCACACAACGCCAACAGCATTCAGGCCTCACCTGACCCAGATTGAGTTGCGTCCGCAGATGAAGAGCACCCTACCATCGTAAGTCAGACCCTTCAGTTCCGGCATCTGGGTGATGTTGCGCGCACACGACTCCAGCGTCTCGGCATTGAATTGCCACTCGTAACTGCATTCTCCTTTGCGAAGGTTGGTCAGGAGAAGCTTCACTACGTCGTGCACCTGAAAGAGTGCGCCACCAGCTCAGTGAGCCTGTAGAAGGGGCTAGAGCCACCCAATAAGTTACACCTCAGAGTATCGACGCTACATTCCCCGAGTGTATTGTGAACGCCGCCATTCTGTTGCCTAATGCAGAGCGGGTACAGTTGGCTATTCAGGTCGTACGACAACTAAAGGGGGCGTGCCGCACCGCCTCGACAGCTGGTTGGCAGTGCCGCCACCGACAGCATACGCATTACGCCGCATAGTGAAGCACTGCCCGCTCCAACCTCTTCTAACACGACTGCAATGTCTTGACCGCATATGCGCCTTTTTGCGGCCATGTTTCTCAATCTTGCTTCGGAGGAAAGCTAATTGGCACCTCGACATTCGAAAACATATCCATGTCCGGCGTTGCTCTGAGTGTGTTCCTGTATCGCTCGACCTGCAGGAGTTTATCGGAGCTCGAATTGAATTGTGTACCCCACAGTTGTAAGCAGCAACAACAGCAGCACACCGCATTTTTCGTTTATCTGTGTCTGAATAAGCCTCTGCGAAGCACCTGTAAGATTCGACGGTCCGGAAATCACAAGAAGACAACATTCACCAGTGCCAGTACATCGATAAAATCCATGCGAGAGGTATTTTTCGCTCCTCTTATAATCGGATTCCACTGCGCTTGCAAGCAGATCAAGTGGACGTACCGGGATCGAGATGGTTGCGGCAGTTTTCGACAGCGCATGGGGGGGTCTGTGTTTGTGCTGACTGCAGCCCCAAACGTTTTGTAGATGACTGTGCTCAGGTAAGCTGACATAGATTGGAAACTTTGGTCTTCCGCTACGCGGGATGATTATGCAAAATGCTTCCGCAAAAAGTCGCACCGTGGCGCTGCTGCCGTCGTGTCGCAGGCTTCCAACAATTACGATCCGATAAATTTCACTTGTTCGTCTTTAGAGACTGTCAGGAAGCTCAGGCAATGCCGTTTTGCTACACTGCAGACTGCTAGAACAGTTCTGGGGGACAAAAAAGGGTTTCCTGCAATATTGGAAAAAGTTTCAGGTAACTGGCAACAGTGATTTTATGCTACAGTACAGGGCAGTTGCTCCGAATCATGGTTTATTCGGCAGCCCTAGGAAGGGCGATGCACCAGGAGAGGGCAGTGGATAGAGGCACTATGCGAAGCAACCTCGAGATAACCTCGCAACGACCCACCTGGATGACGCGACCCAGCTGTTTCTCGGCTTCCTTGCGCGCGGCTGGAGAGCTCATCTCGGGGGAGATATGCTTCAGCGCGTCCCTCGTGGCCCTGACGCAGGTGAGCAAATCGCTCTCGATGGTGGGGGGCATGAAGGTCGGTGCCACGTCCACCACCACCAGGCGCTCCACCATGGATGGCTGCACATCGAGAGAGCCATTACGCCGTTAGCGGGGGTTGAAACAGCAAAGAACTTTTGTAGAGCATCTCTCTACTCATTAATGAAAGAGCGACTTTATAAAAGCTTTTAGTAAGTCATAAAAAGAATGGCGGGAGCTTCCTTCCAAAAAAAATTCAATCTTGGGTTGAAACACTTCTATTTATTTCGTTCCCATAAGCATTTAGTAGCTCGGTAAAGAAACTATGACATCTCTGATGTGAAACTTACTAGGGACTAAGACTGCAAGTTGACCTCGCACGTACATCTGTCCTTTATGTCCTATACTTCATTATTGATCAATTACTATATTGCTCATTCAGATACAGTGTGGCACTTTAACATGAACTCAACATCGATGCTATGTCAGTGTGTGTGAATGTTCCTTCGGCTAAAAGTTCTTCATTTTTTTCACCGCAGTCTCGGATGTTAAACAACGTGATTGCATATTTTATTTTGAAAAGGCATTGGTGAGCTCTGAGCTTTACCACCTAGGATCCCGCACTTGCACTTTCTTGCAGCCATGTACCTTAAAACTTTTTCAAATGTCTTAGACGAAAGAACATACTGGCGCCGTCTATGAACTGACGCTGGAACTGCCTTTCATTAGAGCGAAGGTTTTGCGGTACTTCCGAGATCAAACGTACATCATCTATGAGAAATGGTTGTTTATAGCATTGTTACAAGCCTTTCGAGTCAAAAAAGAATGATATGCAAAGAAAATAAGATATATGGCAACTGCAAATGTTTCCCGGCTACCCGTGCACTTACTACTTTCCTTGAACTACGTAACCTCTCATTTACTTTGTACCTCAAGTAATTTTAAGATGTACTTTACCCAATATTGCTATAGCACACACGTTGCTGAACCCCTCTGAAGGTCATGCAGCACTAACTTGGCCTTAGATTGGCTTCGATGGCTTGTGGACCATCACAAAATGAAACAAAGTAAGGACCCTTTTTATAAATGTGACCCAAGAAGCCGCTGTTGCACTTTACGCCAATGTGAACTTCCAATCAAATGGGGGAAGAAACAATCACCACCACAACACTGCTCTTTGCAGCACCCATAAAATATTTTTCAAAATGGAAGCTTGGGAATAAATCAAATTTATTTGAACATACTATCAGTCTCTTACGGGACCAAGATAGGGGTGGGATACAATGAACAGCCCAACAATCATAGTCTGCGTTGTCCTGCGCCGACACAACCAGAAGAGAAACAGCAGCACAACAAAAGCAACAATAGTAAAATAATAGTAACCCAACAGACAGCCTGAGGTGCGACCGAGCAATAAGAAATAAGCGATGCGAATTCCAACCGGCCGCATGCACGCGTGCATCAACAACACTTTCTGGCAACTGGTTCCAATCCCGCACCGTCTGCAAGAAAAACGAGTATCTAAAACATTCCTTATTAAACCTTCTTTCTTTCGCATGCCGTCCATGCGTATTCCTGGTTACTTGGGACAAGTCTTCCATCTATATACCGATGCTTGTTAACAAGAACCAAATTATTGATAATACTGTAAAAAAGCTTTAACCTTTTTTGTTTTCTGTGGAGTTGCAGCAGTGGTAAACTGGCTCTGTCACAAAGGGGGCAAACCGAATCCTGTCTTGGGTAACGGGGGTAAATAAAACGCAACGGGCGTCGCTGTACACTTTCCAGTTTTAACTGCAGTTTTTTCACATACGGGTCCCAGACTTTGCATGCATATTCTAGCATGGGGCGAACTAACGTCTTGTATGCAATCAGCTTAGTCTCTTGTGAGGCAAGTTTGAGGGTGCGCCGGATAAATCCTAACCTTTCATTAGCTTTACCGATAACATTATCAATGTGGTTTGTCCATTTTAGGTCTGCCGTTATTGTGACGCCAAGATACTTATATTCAGTCACGTTAGTCAAGGTAACACGCTCTGGAGTGTGTACCTAAAGTCTAAATGTTAACGTTTATGAGTTATGGTCATACATACGGTTTTTTGTGTATTTAGCGACATATGCCATTTTGCACACCTGTCGTTTATTTTAGGCGGATAGTCGTTTAGCCTTACTTGATCGGCGACAGACTTCCCTTCAGTGTAGATAATACGATCGTCTGCAAACGATCTGGCTTGCATAGATGAATCAACTATAAGGTCGTTAATATACAAAAGAAACAACAAGGGCCCAAGCACCAAGCCCTGAGGCATACCCGACTTGACATCACATATGTCAGACCTGTGTTTGTCAATACTTACAAACTGTTTGCGATTTGTGAGAAACGCCTCTATCCAGTCAACAACGTTACTATTTCCTAAGACACATTTCAATTGAATTAGTAGTTTTTTATGAGTGACCTTATCGAGTGCTTTTCTGAAGTCTAAATAAATTATATCTACCTGTCCTTTTCTATCAAGAACTTCATTTAGATAATGCACCATCTCTACAAGCTGCGTCACTGTCTTTAGGCCCTCTCGAAACCCGTGTTGGCATTCGCTCAGAAACTTATTACAAGAAAGAAACTGTCCGACATGTTTCGAAACTATATGTCCTAGAATTTTGCATGACGTTGATGTTAAGGCAATGGGTCTATAGTTAGAGACAGATGTAGCATCATTTGGTATAGGAATTATTTTACTCATCTTCCAGTTCTCTGGAAGAATTCCCGTTAAAAGTGATTTTTCGAAGATTACAAAAAGGTACCTGGCCATTCACACCGCGTATCTCTTTAGAAAGGCATTGGAAATTTCGTCAGGGCCCATCAACTTAGAAGCTTTAGGTTCAGTAACAAAGCCAGAATTCCTTCCACTGAAAGTGTCGAGTCATCTGCATCTGGAAAGTTGCTCGGTTACTCAAACTATATCTAGTTCCTCATCATCGTTTGTGAAAACACTCGAAAAAAAAGTATTGAGCCTTTTAGAAATATTGTGCTTGTCTTTGGAAACACCCTCCTCTGCACTTATCTCGGAAACACAATTTGTTTTTTGTCAAATGTCTCCAAAATTTCTGGGGTGATTGTCTGAGAAACTGTAGCATTGTGATTTGAGAGTTTTACGTGCCAAACCATTGAAAAACTGTACCATTGCAATTTTAGAATTTTACGTGCCAAACCATTGACGGGCATCTGGCACAACCCAGTGGAGGACTGATGATTAAATTTGACCACTTGGGGATCTTTTGACATGCAACCGAAAGCTCGGTTACACGGCGCCTTTTCCGCAATACGCCTCCGTCAGAATGCGGGCACCTCGGCCAGGATTGGAACCCGCCAACTAGGAATCCGTAGGCCGGCGCTTTGCATCAAAGCCACTGAGGCGGCTATGGAAGCTTGGGCGTTTTGGTAAGGCACAATGATTAAACCATACAGCACACAAAGACAGTACAGAAGAAAGAGGACACAGTCGGTGATTAGCGTTTGTATGTCCTATTTCTTCTGTCCAGTCTTTGTGCACTGTATGTCTTAATCATCATCAAATATTTCACAACCAATTGTCCAGGTGCTTTTCTAAAGGACTGGTTAGCGAGAGATTTTTTGAAGAGTTTTAGCTAGTCCTATGAGACAGCTGATCACTTGGAATGCGTTTAACAACGCGGCAGAAGAACCTTGCTAAATCTCCAACTTTGCCGTTTCAGTAGCACTTAAAATGTCCCAGAAATCGTGGCATAAACAAGCTCAGAATGCTTAACAAAACTAAGCGACCAGAAGTCGCTTGGGGCACAAGAGACAGCTTGTGACTTTGAACACAAAAATTGTAGAGCTGTTCCACTTCACGTGAAGATGGAGGATCAGTGAAGCTGTTACTTTTATGACGTCTAGGACGATGCCTAGAGGACGATGTCTAGGACGACGCCTAGATGACGAAGCCTAGGATGACCGCTCGGACAACTTGTAGAACGACCTCGAAGACGACTTCTAGGACGACCTCGAGGACCACCTCAAGGACGACTTCTAGCATGACCTCGAGGACGACGCCTTGAGGACGACCTCTCAGAAGACCTGAAGGACGAACTCGAGGACGACTTCTAGGACGACCTCAAGGATGACTTCTAGGACGACCTCGAGGATGATGCCTAGGACGACCTCTCAAACGACCTCAAGGACGACTTCTAGAGATGATAACTAGGAATCAGGACCTCACTACCTAATAATGCCAAGGAAGGCTGACCCACGCTGGTTGCCCCCTCTTTTTGTGTATTCATACTTGCCACGACCAATGAGGAGTTTTCTGTCAACACCTGCAGACACAATTTTTCTCAGATCATATAGCGCATAACAGCTTCGCTGTAAAAGTCTCTACAGTGGCACCTCTGCTTGCCACACTGTGGTGCTGCGACTGCTATGCATGACTATCTCCGAAGCACACGTGCCGCGTACGTTTGCGCCGCGACAAAAATTCCAGCCGTCCTCACTTGCGTCAGCGCAAAGGTCATGGCCACCCTGCCTCCCATGCTGTGTCCCAGGATGGCCGCCTCCTGCAGGCCCCTTTCCTTGCAGAAGAGCTCCAGGTCGGTGGCCATCAGCAGGTAGTCCATGCCCTCTGTGTGGGGGCTGTCGCCGTGGTTCCTTGTGTCCGGGGCGTACACCTGGGCGTGACACGGCGCAAATTATTCAATAGTACAGGTGGATGGATGGATGGATGCTAAAGGATGTGCCCTTTACAACGTGCAGCAGATTGCACCACCTAGCCCAGAAACCAAAAGTATTATTCCTCCCCTCGCACACGAGCCAATTTGCTTCCTATCTGCATTTTTATAACCATCACCAGACAGTGTGGGATATCGCCAGGATGACCTAGAAGGAATCGGGCAGATTTCCCTAGTGAGCCCCTTTTATGGTCAATTTCACCTTACAACAGACCGCAGCAGACGCCACGAACCATCGGAGCCAATTAACCCAATGCTCTGCGAGTGTCATGTGACCTTCGGCCCAGTCACGTTATACTGCCGCATGCGCAACTGGCCAAGTAGGCAGCGCGCGCGTGGCCTAACGGTTATCGCGCCTGCCTCCCATGCGAAAAGCCAGGGTTCAATTCCTGGCAGCAACTCACCTGTTGTTATTCCTGCAATTTAGTGTTCTGGTAAATTCGAGAATCCTGCTGCATGTTCGAGGTCCGAATGTTCTATGCGTCGAACATTCCACGCCGATTATTCCAGAAGCTTACGCATGTACATAAGGGGCTCCGCGTGGCGAACCGGAGTCAGTCTCGCCCCAGCGCTCGATCCTGCGGTTTCGTTGACATCGACGCCTGCTGCTGTTATCTTTTGTTTCCTTTTTATTTTTGGGCACAGGTTTGCCCCATTAAACGTACAGCCTTGATGGAGATGCGCCTCAACGGGTAATCGGTCTCTTAGCTGAAGATGAGAAATTTAACCAGTGCAGTACAACCGCTAACCTGGGGTTTTTAACGTGCATCACGCAACAGTGATTACACGAACGCGTGCCGGTACGAAACTCATCCAGATCGAAACGAGCGGTGGTGGCGGGGATCGAACCCAGGAGGTTCCCAGCACAAGATTTCGCTCCACGCTCCGAGCTGAGACTCGTTAGCCCACTTGGCCACTTTTTCCCCTCGCCGTAGAGAAATATAGCACTACGTAAAGAGTGGCCATTCAAGCCGTTTCACGGCCCAGGAGTTAGGGACTCTACTGGCCGTTACTAGGCGCGACAGTGCCACTTATTTTGAACATTTGTCAGATATATAATAGTAATAAATAACTTCATTGTATAGAGTAAACTTTTAAAATTATCACAAACTTTGAAAACTTTCAAAAACAACTTCAATGGCTCTGGCTATGGCTGCGGCACGACGGTTGGCTTTGGAGTCGTGGACTCGTCGGAGGGCGGATACTTCGGCTGCTTGGTCTGCGTTAGGGGTAGGGGTGTCGCGAACTTTTGTCGAACCGGATTTTTAGGTCGAACTTTCGGGGTTCGACCCTTCGAAACTTTTCACCAGATTCGACCGGTTCGACTTTGCGGACAGTGTGGCCAGACCTTGATAGACGCATGTCTAGGTTTGGAGAATTTATTTTTATGCAAATGGTTATTTTATTTTACGAACAGTTGGAATTAAAAGAAACCACTTCTAATCACTAAAGACATTAATAACTTAATTTTTTTTTGTACTGTATTAACTGAAATAACCAACCAGAGGTGCCCTTAATTCATCCATTAGCCATTACCATCCAATCCGAAGCCAACTGGCCAGCCTGTCGCGCATGCGTACACGAGTCGAACCTCAATACAAGGTTCGTCGAAATTTCCACGAAAAGTTCGAAAAAGTCGAACCAGGTCGAACTCGAACCTCCGCCGGTTCGCGACACCCCTAGTTAGGGGTAGGGGTGTCGCGAACTTTTGTCGAACCAGATTTTTTGGTCGAACTTTCGGGGTTCGACTGGGTCGAACCGGTTCGACGAACCTTCGAACTTTTCACCAGATTCGACCGGTTCGACTTTGTGGACAGTGTGGCCAGACCTTGATACAAGCATGTCTAGGTTTGGAGAATTTCTTTTTTTATGCAAAGGGTTATTTTATTGTGTGAACAGCTCCAATTAAAAGAAACTAATTCAATTCACTGAAGAAGTTAATACCTTAAATTTTAGTACTGTATTGACTGAAATAGCCGATCAGCGCTGCACTTAATTCATCTCTTAGCCATTACCATCCAATCTGAAGCCAACTAGCCAGCCTGTCGCGCATGCGCACACGAGTCGAACCTCAATACAAGGTTCGACGAACTTTCCACTAAAAGGTCGAAAAAGTCGAACCTGGTCGAACTCGAACCGCGGCCGGTTCGCGACACCCCTAGTTAGGGGTGTCGCGAACGTTTGTCGAACCAGATTTTTTGGTTGAACTTTCGGGGTTCGACTGAGTCGAACCGGTTCGACGAACCTTCGAACTTTTCACCAGATTCGACCGGTTCGACTTTGTGGACAGTGTGGCCAGACCTTGATACAAGCATGTCTAGGTTTGGAGAATTTCTTTTCTTATGCAAAGGGTTATTTTATTTTGTGAACAGCTGCAATTGAAAGAAACTAATTTTATTCACTGAAGAACTCAATAACTTAAATTTTAGTACTGTATTGACTGAAATAGCCGATCAGCGCTGCATTTAATTCATCTCTCAGCCATTACTATCCAATGCGAAGCCAACTGGCCAGCCTGTCACGCATGCGCACACGAGTCGAACCTCAATGCAAGGTTCGACGAACTTTCCACAACAAGTTTGAAAAAGTCGAACCTGGTCGAACTCGAACCGCGGCCGGTTCGCGACACCCCTAGTCTGCGTCTCTTGCCTCATTGTGTGGGTTGAGTTGGTTCCGCGGCTTGTTGTGTCGTGCGGGTTTCTAGTCATTCTTCCGTTGTGGTCATGGTATACGGTATATGTAAGAAGTATTGTGACTATATTTTCTTCGTTGACGGACATTTGCATTCGGTCACTGAATTTAGAAGCCACTGGGCCAGTGATATGTGCAAGAGCCTTTCAGCACATGGTCATATGTGCAAGCACCTTTCATGGAACTTGGACGGTAATTTTTTTTAAATGTCCTCCATCATATTGCATTTGCCGATGTAAGTCTCGCTGTAATACAGTACTTTTTTCCAGTTTACATTTGTTGACTAATACATTTTGCATGTGTATTGTTATTTTTATAATGTATGAATAATATACATCACTCCTTGCAAGGAGGTGAGAAGTACTAGGAGGGAGCACGTTGCAATATTGTTGAAAGCTAGTCATAAAAAGTTTAAACGATTTTTGTGCCCAGCGTGACCGCAGATCTCTCTGGCGATTGGTGCACGTGACATGTCACGTGCGAGATGGATGGTTGATTGTAGAACGACTCCTTGCAGGATTGCGCGCGCTCCGTCCGACAGGTTTTATCCGATCGAAGGCTAGACTGTGGTGTATTCTAGTACCACATAGCAAGATGAAGGCTAGCTACAATCACGTGATGTAGTCACGTTGGCATGGTACGTGAGGAGAGTAAGGAGGAAAATGAGAAAGAGGCAAGGCGTCAAGGGAGCATGGCTTGTGGAGGCTCCGCGCAGCGTCATGCCCTCTCCTACCCTTCCATCCTCCTTGACTCCTTGTCTTCAGAGTTGATGTTTGTTTTGCTTGTCATAGTTACAAAAATAAATACTTCTGTGTGCCAATCCCTGGTGTCGTCCCATGTCGTCCCTTCAAGAGAGTTAGCTCAAATGTGAAAATATCATTTTCGGTGTGCGGTCAGTTTGAATTATATGTAGCACTGGATGACTTTTCTTCTGCAGTACAATTAAGGTATGCTTAAAACAATTCTATTTTAAACAAAAACCATGCCAGTTACAATAACACTAACTCGTTAAAGGGATTGTCCGGTCAAATTCTGTATTCGAGAAAACAATTGAATATCATTGTTATTGCCTCGAGAAGCATCGTTCATGCAATATCTGAATTTTCTTTGCCCCTCTTCGTGAGTAATTGAATTTATACTGCTTCAATCGCATTCTAGCGTAAGCTCTGCTTTCGTTGGCAACATTGAAGCTCTGACGTCACAAAACACAAGGCGAGCATTTCTGTCTTGTTGTTTGCCTGCGAGTGAACGCCTCAGCGTGCTTCGTTTTTGTTGTAGTGCTCGACTTGTTTCGTGATTGGGTGAGATTTTTGTAGTGCGGTTGGCTGCCACAAGCACCGGGCAGCACATGCGAGCCAAGACATGACGTTCTACACTTTTCCGCGAGGCGTGCAGTGACGAGCAAAGCGGATCGTCGCCGTGCGTAGGGACTGGGTTCCCGTCAAGATCGAGATCCTGCTTATGCAGTAATCACCTCACAGAAGAGAGCTACGAGTTGAGCTCTAAGCGGACAGAAGGCTCGTAAGCTGAGGTGCGATGCTGTGCCAACGATATTAAACTATGTTCATCCACTCCTCGCCCAAATCGGATCAATCAATTTGATTATGCAGCGAAACCGAAACTGTCACAGTTTCGATTTCCCTTTGGCGGTTCTCCCGCCAGCCCTCTACAACGACTGTGAATAATCTTTATTTTTGTTGAGGCCGGTCAGCCGGCGCGGTTGGCGCGTGTGCCCAAAGTTGGGGAAGAACGGATCCGAGCTCTGGCGGACACATAAGAGTTTGAACAATTAACACTATATTTACTTGAAAAAAAAAAAAAAAAATATATATATATATATATAAACATAAATTTCAAGGTTTGGCGCATCGGCAAACAATACACAACAAAAAGAAAACCCCAAGGTTCCGCAGGAACTTCACTAAGTATAAAATGGAAAGAAACAATAAAGAAAACGGTCGGCGCGCTACAGCGATACTACGGTTCAGAAATACAATCCTTCCCGCAGCCCGCTAAGCACCCGGATAGCACTCCGTAATCCGCCACGAGACCTTGAGCTATGCAGAGAAGGCTGCCGGCGCGCATGCGCAGCTGCGGCGTTTTCTTTCGGGGATACCGTAGCGGAGGAGAAAAACGATCTACTACAACTCCCTAATGAAACAAAGGAACCAAGCCACGGACGGAGAGCAAATCGAAATAAAACGTCCGCAAAAGCGAAGTCCGAAGTGTACGGACGGGTCTCACTGAAATTTGGTGTCGAAGGGGCATCGTCAGCCTCTCGGCCGTGGTGAACTGGCAGGAAGACCGCGGCGGTGACGATGATGAAGACACAGAAGATATTGCGTCGCCGGGACGCCTTTCCCGCCGACTTCACCCCGCAAGCGCGAACGTCTTGCCCCCTTGACGACCCAAAAAGCTCTGCGCAAAAACCATCGGATTCGGCTCCCCACCAAAAACCGTCCCTCTCCTCGGCGACTATTTTCCGCCTTTGTCGGCGCCGAAGGCACCCCCGGGGGAAAGAAAGGGAGAAGCAAACAAAACTGGGTTGCGTCTTGCCGTTTGTGGTCGCCGCAACGCGAGGCGGCCCACTGAAAATGCAAATGGCGAAGGGGCACGGCGAGCAGCACAAAATCGCAAAGAAGAAGCTCCTGGGAGAGTCGACCAACAGCTAGGCCATCTGGAAACAATGCCAGAAGTTGTATTTAGCACGCGTGCAGCCCGATTTTCTCTGACCCGTGTGTGAAAATAGAGCGTGACTACGATTCACCAAGCTCGTCCAAGTCAAGTGATGACATGCGTTTGAACGATTTGCCGCTTGCCTTCGACCCGCGGACATCGCCTCTGAGGGAACGACCCGCAGCCTCATCACCGATCCAGCGGATCCGCCGTCATGTGTACCCAGATGCCGCTTCATAGGCGAAATCTGCATCCTTTGCCACCTTTGCTTTGCAAGCACCCCTAGTTTGATCGGTGGCCGTCGCAGTTGTGTTTGCGCGAAACGGCATACGTTTGCTCGAGCTTATGGCTGTTTGCGAGTAATATCCTGCTGAAAGGCGTGACTTTTTTTGCACATGCTTAGGAACTGCATTCAAAGAACCGTATTTCAGTAGGGTACAGCCTAGGGGACAATATAATTCGAAACAAAATACAAGACATCCATCGACCAACGCTTATTATCCCGACCATCCGACAAACCTTTGCGTATTGTTATGTCTCGCAGCACCTACGGATGTCAGCCATTGACACTGGCGAAATTCGAGGTGCAGTTTCGTACATACGTTAAAGGGATTTTTTTACATTTAGTTAAAGGGATCAGGGGGGATCGGTGGCCGAGTGGTCTAGCACTGCAGCTCGGAAGGCGTGGAGCGAAAGCTCGCGCTGCAGAACCCAGGGATCCTGGGTTCGAGCCCCATCCCTGCCCGTTTCGATCTGGATGAGCATCGTACCGGCGTGCGGTCGTGCATCACTACTGCGTAATGCACGTTAAAGACCCCAGGCTAGCGGTTGTACCGCACTGGCTAAATTTCTCATCTACAGCTGGGAGACTCGTCGCCCCTGTGAGGCAGACCAAGTTCTAGGCTGTATTAAACACACACACAACCCAATTATTATTATAGTTAAAGGGATTGTCCGGTCAAATCTTGTATTCGAGAAAATCATTGAATACCATTGTTATTGCCTCCAGAAGTATCGTACGTGCAATATCTGAATTTGATATGCCCCTCTGCGTGAGTAATTGAATTTATACTGCTCCAATCGCATTCTAGCGTAAGCGCTGCTTTCGTTGGCAACATTGAAACTCTGACGTCACAAAACACAAAGCGAGCAGGCGAGCATTTCTGTCTCGTCGTTTGCCTGCGAGTGAGTGCCTCGGCGTGCTTCGTTTTTGTTGTTGTGCTCGACTTATTTCGTGGTTGGGTGAGATTTTTGTTGTGCGGTTGGGTGCCACAACCACCGGGCAGCACATGTGAGCCAAGACATGACGTTCCACACTTTTCCGCGAGACGTGCAGTGACGAGCAAAGTGGATCGTCGCTGTGCGTAGGGACTGGGTTCCCCTCAAGATCGAGATCCCGCTTATGCAGTAATCACCTCACAGAAAAGAGCTACGAGTTGAGCTCTAAGCGGACAGAAGGCTCGTAAGCTGAGGTGCGATGCTGTGCCAACGATATTAAACTATGTTCATCCACTCCTCGCCCAAATCGGATCAATCAATTTGATTATGCAGCGAAACCGAAACTGTCACAGTTTCGATTCCCCTTTGACGGTTCTCCCGCTGGCCCTCTACAACGACTGTGAACAATATTTATTTTTGTTGAGGCCGGTCAGCCGGCGCGGTTGGCGCGCGTGCCCAAGTTGGGGAAGAACGGAATGGAGCTCAGGCGGACTTTGAACAATGAATAAAATATTTACCCGCGGACATTGCCTCTGAGCAACGTTACTAAAACACTCAGTTGGGAAACTCTTAAAGAGACAGCTTTGAAAAAGTGGCCCCAGTCTGTCTCCGAGCACCGAGCTAATGACGAACTCAACGCCACCATTTCTCCCGCAGCGGCCACTCGAGGAACTGCACGTGATTTCTATTCTGGCTTTAGAACAGATACATCGGTAGAGGCAACAGGAGTGCCACCCCCGTCTCCCCGGCGGACGCGCCGCGTTCGACATCGGAAGTTAAAATGCACCTAGGCTTGGACGCGCTACCTGAAAGGCCCGCTGAGGCATGGTTGTATAAAAACAATATTAATTGTTCCGCAAAACCTTGCGAACTAAAGATGATAAAAACATCACGCGCCCATCATTTGGTACTAAACTCCAATAAATTTCATACAAAAAGAGTCTTTTCCGTTTGTTTTTACGGAAAAACAGGCTTTCAAAAAGCTTGAGGTGACCACAGTACAGACAAGTGACAAAGAGTGGCGCTGTTGTCGCATTTAGCTCGGTCTGGGTGGACGCCAGCGGCCCAGGTTTCGACGGCGAGTTTCCCAACTGAGTGTTTTAGTAACGTTGCCTCTGAGGGAACGTCCCGCAGCCTCATCACAGATCCAGCGGATTCGCCGACATGTGTACCCAGATGCCGCTTCGTGTACCTAGGTGCAGCTTCAGAGGCGAAATCTGCATCCTTTGCCACCTTTGCTTTGCAAGCATCCCTAGTTCAATCGGTGGCCGTCGCAGTTGCACAGTTGTGTTTGCACGAAACGGCATACGTTTTGCTCGAAGCTTATGGCTGTTTGCGAGTAATATCCTGCTAAAAGGCGTGACTTTTTTTGCACATGCTTAGGAACTGCATTCAAAGAACCGTATTTCAGTAGGGTACACCCTAGAAGATTATATAATTCGAAACAAAATACAAGACATCCATCGATCAACGCTTGTTATCCCAACCATCCGACAAACCTTTGCGTTCTGTGACGTCACGCAGCACCTACGGATGTCAGCCATTGACACTGGCGAAATTCGGGGTGCAGTTTCGTACATACGCTCATGAAAGGTTTAATAACGGGAGATCATATATCAAAATAAAAATAACGTTTGTCTACATGAAGGCTCCCTCGACGCAACGAGCGCAAAAACTTAAGTACTTCCGGTTTCGACCGGACAATCACTAAAGGGCGCATGCTACTTCCCGATACAAAAATACCACCAGAATTCGCCTTGAATCCATTCATTCATATGGCCAGCAGTTACTGCGTGTATCCATCCATTCAACACTCAACTAGTGACTATACTGGCCGCTGGGTGCGCTCGCTGACGCTGAATTGGACCGCTCGGGCCTATCGGCTCTGGAGCCAATGGAAGTGTCCGCTCTTTACGTAGTACTATGGTCTCGCTAGCAGACGGCCGGACTCTATGGTCTCGCTAGAAGACGGCCGGAAGAGCGCAGTGGCGCATCGAGCGCGAGTGAGAATTTATCTTGGAGGGCCTCAGGGTGCGCCGTGCGCGCCGTGTGTGCCATAGAGATCATACATACTAACTGTAGAGGAAAACGTCCGCCATTTTCCCATACATTCTGGCTGCCGCAAGCGGCGGATCATGCAGGCAGACCCTCGGGGTCCCAAACACGGTTACATCATCAGAGCAGTTTCGTGAACTTCAACAATCCACGAACTTGCCGGTGGAAAGATACTCGCGTTCCTTTCGAAGCTTTCTTTTTGCATAGCGCGCAGATGTACGGCCTCGCGTTAACGCTAAACTAAACCATATACCCGGCTTCGCCGGTGGGGCGCGGGTGGGCGCGGTTGAGGAATACGAAACTGCGCAACCACCAGATTTCCGAGATTTCGACAGAAGGCAACGTTACTAAAACACTCAGTTGGGAAACTCCCATAGAGACAGCTTTGAAAAAGTGGCCCCAATCTGTCTCCGAGCACCGAGCTAATGACGAACACAACGCCACCATTTCTCCCGCAGCGGCCTCTCGAGGAACTGCACGTGACTTCTATTTTGGCTTTAGAACAGATACATCGGTAGAGGCAACAGGACTGCCACCCCCGTCTCCCCGGCGGACTCACCGCGTTCAACTATCGACGTTAAAATGCACCTAGGTAAGGACGCGCTACCTGAAAGACCCGCTGAGGCATGGTTGTATAAAAACAATATTAATTGTTCCGCAAAACCTTGCGAACTAAAGATGATCAAAACATCACGCGCCCATCATTTGGTACTAAACTCCAATAAATTTCATACAAAAAGAGTCTTTTCCGTTTGTTTTTACGCAAAAACAGGCTTTCAAAAAGCTCGAGGTGACCATAGTACAGACAAACGAAAAAGAGTGGCGCTGTTGTCGCATTTAGCTCGGTCTGGGTGGACGGCAGCGGCCCAGGTTTCGACGGCGAGTTTCCCAACTGAGTGTTTTAGTAACGTTGACAGAAGGGAGGTTAATGCAGCGTAATGACTTTATTGCTTTTTTATAAGCGTTAGAATAGCTCAGAATTTAGTTTATAACGTTAAATTATCACTGTTTATATTGCTGAGAGTTTTCACTCTTCGCGTTTACCATTGTGACTGCCGTCCTTCAGCTGGCAACGTTGCTTTCTTTCTCTCGAGTTCTGTCGCTCTCTTTTGCGATCTTTCACTCGGGACCCCGGGTGTCGGCGCACGGGATTTGCCACTCCTCCTCACCCACCTTTACCCCCCTGGTGTGTGCGAGTAAAGCGCAGTGTTGCCAGATTGGGCTATATATAGCCAAATTGGGCTACATTTTTTTCTAGTTCGCGTCAAAATTTTGTGGTTGGCTAAGTGGCTATTTTGGGCTATTTCTAAGAATGCGGCGAACTTTTGTCGAACCTCAGGTTCGACGCCGAGCTTTGAGGTTCGGCTAGTTAATTTTCGAACTTTTAATCAGAGTCGAAACAAAAAAAAAGTTTCTCTTTTGGCTAGTCGAGAGGAGGGACGAACCGTGCGGATCTAATTCGGATGGATGGATGGA